CTGATCTATTCCGATCATTCTTTAGTTATTATAAATATACATATATATAAGGCTTGCTTTGGCGACCATTCCATTTGTTAAATCTGTATTTAGCTGATTCGAGGCCCGAAGTCTATATATATAATATAATTATAAAACAATTTAGAAATCCAGAAAATTAGAATCTAATATATTTTAAGTTTGTGCACAATTTAATTTTATTTTTCTGCTTTTCAACACTTGATTACTAAAAACGCTATGAAATTGGCTTTTAGAAAAATGATTATAAAAATCGTTTTAATTAAACTGCCTAAAGCTCTATAAAACTTCTTAAACAAAGGACAAGCATTCAAACAATTTTTGAATATTAATTGCAAATGTATATGTTTATATAAATATATGTATGTATATACATATATATGTGCGGGCTGGGATTAAAACATGATGCTGTTTATGTCTCTTATTTACAAATTCTTAATACTGTCTAAGAAGAAAATTAAATGAACTAAACAGCATTATGTTTTATTAATAGAAATAATTTAATAAAATCAAAGCAATATTACAAATAATATTGATTTTGTGGACTTTAAAGTTCAATAAGGATTATAATATTTAAGTATGCACATGAATAATCATAATCAAACAAATGTATCTACACAAAAATAAATACTCGAAGCTATGCTGAGGGCTATTTCACATTGTATGGCTAATTATATGTTATATATGAACATATATAAGTATGTGCATGTGTGTGTGTGTGTGTGTGTGTGTGTGTGTGTGTGTGTGTGTGGATGTTTGCATCACGCAAATAAATTTGCGGTGATTTGTAGAGTTACGATAGCAAAGCGCATTAAACTTGCTGCAACCCACATAAATATAGCTAGAAAGCATTTAACTACTCAGCGATTACACACAACCAACACACAGCCACACACACACATAAGTGTGTGCACACTAATACTTCATGTGCACAAACAAAGGACATGTAGGTACATCTACACATGTGTGTATTTAATGTATGTCCCCGCTAATATGGGAATGTTTTGCCCAAAGTTAAGGTAAGTTAGCTAGAGATGAGCGCGTGACACGAGCACGAACGCGAACACGAACTCTTACATGCACACCAGTGTTGGCAAATGCGCGAACACGCCACAAAATAGGCAAACATTAATCAAATATCCCTATCTGATCGCTTAAAAGGACCTTTTTAAAATACAATATATAATAAAAAAAACAAGGATATTTATTCAGAAGTTTTTATATTCTCTTTGAAGTTATACTTTCATTTTTTTTATCTGCCTCATTATTTAAATATATAAATGAAATTTCGAAATGGCGCTCATCTTCAGCTGCCGAATCGCAGCTCATAAAAAAAAACTTCATTTATTCGCAAAGAAATAAATCTTTTAATGCACATCGGAGAGTCGTTATTCAGGCATTGTTTTCTCATTTGCCACAACACCTAGCAAACACACACGCACACACACACTCAGCCACACACGCACCACACACACACACAATTGGGGGGCATATATCGTGCCGTGCAACCATCGATGGACCCCCAGACGAAAGGACAGTTTTGTTCCAGTGCTGGCTCGCTGAGCAAATGAACCTTGAATGGTTCCATGTATTTCAATGATTCTAATTATGGAGCCGCCCCCTGACCCGCCGACCCTCCTGCATTCGCTGGCTTGCCACAAAAGTTTCTTAAGTATCGCGTGCATCATTGTTATTGTTTTTCCTTTGGACGAGCAGCCAAATTGCTTTGTTGTATGCCACGCCATCATTGGCATTTACCATGTCCCATGTCCCATGTCCCATATACACCCTGCGACCATTTCCGTGCGTGGGCGGTACGCTCATTAGGTTTCCTCAGCCGGCGGTACGATTCATGGCCCATGCAAAATGTCCCTCAAGGGCAGGCAGTTGTCGCGTTCCTCCTGTTCAACTTTATGTTATGTGTTTATGTGCCCATTTCTATGTGCGTGTGTGTGTGTGTGTATGTCCACCGGTGACCTGCGAAAATGTCTGTGTCAAGTTGTGAGTAATAATGCGGAAATGCCAAAGAATGGCACAACCAAAATAAGCTCGTAAATAGCCAAGCAAAGCCAGCCTTTTCCTCTATACCAAATAGCGGATACTCTAAAATGCAAATCTAAAAAAAATTTAATATACATATCAATATTCCTGACATATATGGAATCCTTGTATAAAGACACCCATCTCAGTCATATATAATGTGCTTGGATCGACTACTGTTTGCCAATTCCAAATAGAATCACAAGATCAACTTGGGTTCCACACAGATGCATGGTCCAACATCCATGCTGATATCGAAAGTTTATATAAATTGAACGTCTTTGTGAACTTAAAGCATCTTGTCTTAATCTAAAACAGTCAGATTCAGATGGCTGCTAGACTTCAGTCGTTGGCTTGTAAGAAATATAATTTACCATGAACTTTACCAGCTAATTTTATATATTTTTTCTTAAGAAGTTAACAGCTGATGTATGCTCACTTTAATATGTAACATTACATGCATGTACATGCATGTACTTTACCACCTAGTTTGTTTTTACTGGTTACTACTAGTAAAATGCATATACATTTAAAATGAGCCAAAAATATAATTTACCATGAACTTTACAAGTTAGTTTTATTTTTATTTTACTGTGTTTCGCCTTTAAAATGTACAACTCATAAAATGTCACTTTAATGCGATATGATGACAGCTCACTTCAATGTGATTCAACATGCACACACATTTACAATGAGTTTAAAATATCATTTACCATGAACTTAACCATCTAGTTTGAAAAGTTTCTTTTATTGCCCTTTAAAATGATCAACTCGTGAAAGCTCACTTTAATGTGATGCTAAAATTCATAAACTTATGTATATTCGTTTATTTTTCTGCGGCACGTATTTAGCAGCTGACATGTGTCACAAAGTGGATGACATATGCGATTACATCGTTTAATTCGCACTGACAAATGTGGTGCCAAACAAAGGCACATTAATTAGGCGTACGTGTCCATGCATTACAGAAGTATTTGTTGTCCTTTTTGTTTGGTATTGGGTGCTGCGGGCTTGTCAAGCCGAGCCGAATCCTAGCATGGCCATAATGGCTCCTGTGATGCCTCAGATGGATGTGACCATGGACCACGTACATAAGCACATAATTACGAATCTTTCTTGTTCGCTTCTCTCTTTTTTTTTATTTTTGTTTCTGGGCTTTGTTTTGCAAGAGCAGCGGGAAAGTTAAATTGCAGAAATCGCAAACTTTAGTATCTCAAGCAAAAGTAATGGAATTGTGTAATTAACGAGACTCTTGGGTAAAGACTTGATGAAATGCCGCAGTTCTGGCCTTCGCCAAGAGTTATATGCCTGACTTCTATGCATGTATGTGTCTGCCTGCTTAGAAGTTGTCGCCGTCGAAAGCGTTTGCTTAAGGCTAACCTTAAGCAAACACAAACACCCCAAATTACATAGTAAGTACTTTGACCAACAATAACAAAGAGGGCGGCCGCATCGTAAAGGCAGCCCTCTTCAAAGGCGGTCATGTTCAGGACTTTGCTAAAAAGTGATTTTTACTCTATTTCATATATTTATGGAAAAACTGCGCTAAAAAAAAAAAAAACAAGCGAGTCCTCGAGAGACTTAAAGCTTCAAAATATTTATTCTAAATACCATATGCAGGTCATGCTTGTCTTTTTCTTTTGATAAGCCCTTCCAACTTCATAACATCAGTAAAAATCTAGTTTCAGACTTGTTATTTTAGCATAATTCATAAATTATAAGAGATGTGGGTTCACGTATAGAATACAAAGATTTAAACTTTAGACTTTTTAGATACCTCCCACATTCGTCTAAAATTCGGGAAAAAAAACTTTTGTTAAAGTTAGAAACTTTCGATGCATACACACATTTATATACCATATTTAAGCCCTATTTAAAAAATTAAGACCTTTTTCAGAAATTTCAAAAAGATCGGACTATAAACTCCGAAGTTAGTTAAGAATGTTTTTTCCATACAACGAGGAAGTGGTCGAGTAAGTGGGCAGGGGGGCAAAGGGTGTGCGAGCGTGTGTTTGTATGAATGTATGTATATATGTATGTATGTATGTATGTATGAATGTATGAATGTATGAATGTATGAATGTATGAATGTATGAATGTATGTATGCATGTATGTATGCATGTATGTATGTATGTATGTATGTACATATGTATGTATGTATGTATGTATGTGCGTATGCATGTATGTATGTATGTATGTGCGTATGTATGTATGTAAATATGTATGTATTATTGAAAGTATGTATGTATGTATGTATGTATGTATGTATGTACATATGTATGTATTATTGAACGCATGTATGTATGTATGTGCGTATGTATGTATTTATGTATGTATGTATGTATGTATCTATGTATGTATGTATGTATGTATGTATGTATATATGTATGTATGTATGTATGTATGTGCGTATGTATGCATGTAAGTATGTATGTATGTATGTATGTATGAGCGTATGTATGTATGTATATATGTATATATGTTTTTGTGTATGAGTGTATAGAAGATAGCTTGATAGCATGTTTGTATCAACAGCTTGGTTCAGGGTATCTGCTAGTCGGGCTCTCCCACATAAAGTTCTCTTCCTTTTTTCTTTTATTTTTCAAGCAAATTTTAAATTATTTGTAAGTCCGTTTCACTCCTTAAGCCCAGTTATATATTTGATATTTATAAATATTATATTCAGCCAATTTTTGTATACTAATTTATTTATTTGATGATGCGCAGTTCTTGTTAGAATTTGAAACAAAAATTGTTTTTAAATATAAAGTTCATTAAAAAGTACAAAAAAATTAGCTTTTGAATTACAAACTGTAATCTCGATTATCTTAGGAATTGTTTAAATATGCTAATATACTCAATATTTGGAGTAAGAAAAAATATATAAAATGAAATGAATTAAAAAAAAATATATTAAAATGTGCGCTATACATATACGTTCTTTTCTGCGCACAATATTAAGCTTAGGTAAGCCCGAAATACTTATTGCAAAAAAAAAAGTTCTTAATGTAAAGTGAAGAAAAATATTGTAAAACGCATTGAACAAAATCCGGATATATAGAAGCATAAGCATCAAGTTGAACTAAAACATTTGCTTATAGTTGGTTGAATTGTCAGCTCGTGGCAGGCTTTTCAATTTCTTCTTATTCTGTTTATACGACACGGGCTGGGCAACCAGAGCTGCGGCCCCATTTCGATCTGTACGGCTGACGCCCAAGTCGTAGGGGGTACGCACTATTTCGGGCAGGTGTGCATAGTAGACGACTCTCTCATGACGGGGCGAGACCAGCTGTTGCGGCAGCTTGGCTGAGGCATATTTGTTGCTGTAGGAGTCGAGAACTGGCGGAATTGGAAGTGCGTCGTCAAGGTAGCCACGTCGGGACTTCAGGTAGTCTCTTGGTGGCGGCGGGTCCAGCTGGCGATCCGGGTACATGAGATAGGGTTCAGGATATTGCGGCACACGGGGACTGTAGCTGTCATAGGGATCAAAGCGCTGCCGATGCACGTACATGTCCTCAAAGTATTGCGGGTAGGCGCGATGGTACTGCTCATCAAATCTGCAGCATGTCCAGAATCAGCGACAGGACATATTACCCATTGTTTGAGCTGCAACTCACCTGTCATAGCGCCTAATATAGGGATCATACGACCTGGATGGGTACATGGCAAGCGACTTGCCCGAGTATTGACCATACCAGGGCAACGGCTTGGCGGCCATTTCATCGGCCGGTCGACGGAAATATGCCAAATTCTGTTCTCCGCCAGGTACACGAATCGCTGATGAGGCACTCAAGTCGTTGTCACCTGGAGAATTGTCATTTATGCGCCTGCCGGGCGTATAGTAATCATAGTCACTGTATCTGGCCAAGGGTTTGCCTACTCTCAGCTGCTTTCCGGCTGCTCCGTGCTCCAGTGAATCCGTTGCCTCCACATCAATAATGCCGTCCACGTTCTCAAGCTCTCCATTCCGATTGGCAGGATCGTAGCCAGGCTCCGCGTAAGCACCAGCTTTTACCAGCATATGCACTGAGCATAATAATGCCAAAGTCCTTAGTTGCATTTCGTGCTGCACTCCGAACCGAAGCCAACTGAATGCGCTGATTGGCAAAACTGGACTGATCCCAATGAGACTACAGTTTAATAGATGAAGCCACGCAAATGGTAACAATGATCCGGCGACATGGTAAGTTTAACTTCAAAGGGCAATTGTTTTTTTTACAGCCGTTTGAATGTTTTTTCGTTTTTCGCTACGGTTTTTTTTTTCTATTCTCTTTTTTGGTTCTATGAGGCCATTCTATTGGAACTGTGAAGCGCAAGAGTGCACAATTCGATTCAAGCAGCAAACTTGGGATTTAAATACCCTCTATAAACCTGTTCGATTAATAAGGTAATATTGTCACGTAGATAAGTTTGATTACGTTTTCATATCCCCTTGTCAACTAAATGGCAACGCCGCCTCCATAAACCTAAAACAAGCTGGCAGTTTGTAAGTTGGCAACAGTGCAAGTTTAGCTTCATGTTAAGATCTTAGCAAATATTTGCAATGATGATAGAACATAGCACTATCTAGTTTGATTAGATATAAATGCATAAAGTCGTAATTTCCACAATTAATCAATCAACATCAATCAATCAATTTACTGTTCTTAAGATTAATACCGTTAAGAGAACCTGAAACATTTCTATTATATATAAAGAGCATACTCGAGTCGAAACTTCTAGTTAGGTAATAGGCGCGCCACCTGCAATTGACAACAATTTGTACATATTTACACACGCCACGCACAGTAGAAAAACACAAAATGCATTCGTTTGCCCATTCAGAACTTCAAAGATCACACAATAGTAGCTCGAACTTGTCCATGCCACGGTCTGTTGGCCGCGACCTGGGCTACATCAAAAACCATTCAATTGATGCACTTTTCCATTTGCATATATGGTATAAAATCAGGAGGTTTGTACTGGCCAATATAACGGAGTTTTTTTTGGATAGACATTGAACTGTAGTTCGATACCACATCGAGAAAGTACACACAAAAGATTATTATGAAATATGTATTACAAATATATATTTTCTTTTAATTTAAATTATGAAGTCTTACATTTAAAAGTTTTATAAATTAGTTTCAATAACAAATTAATATATAGTAAACAAATCATTTGTAATGCTGGACAATTTGTAACTAAACACGCATAAATAGTTTAAAAAGTAATCATCTTTTGTAACTGTGACAGCGATGACCCAAAGTGAACAGATTCGGGAAGATTTTTTATTTGCATCAGCCACCCTTGGCATTCTAAGCACTTTCTCTGACGATCCTCGCGTGTAACATCCACGCCCAATCCATTGGCAGCCCAAGAATCAAGATTTTCCTGAATTGTTGGCAAGAAGTGTGATAGTATGATACGCAACGTATCGCAGGCTCTGGTAAAATGACTGCAATAAAAATAAATATTTATTTATTAATTATCAATCAGATTTAACTCGACGTTGACATACAATTTGTGTTGACTTTGCAAGAGTTCATAGAGTTCGGGTAGCACAAATGTGCAAAAGTCCAGATTTAACGACGATCTAAATTGATAAAAAGTATGCATTGTAAACGTAATATTATAAAATGATAGACATGACTTACGGCTTTTCAAGAATCGCCCCTAGCAGATCTATAAAAATTGATCGTCCCGCCGATTTAGCTAGCCTCAGTGCACTAAGAACATCGTTGACGCTAAAAAAAAAAAAACAACAAATTAAAGTTTAGTCAAATAAAAAAGAGATTAAATGAACTGTTAAGAATTCATACCGTGTAGAGTTACGAAGCAAATCAAGACTGGCTTGCCGATTGCTTAACTCCTGAAGTACTGCTTCATGTGATCTTGAGAGTATATCAAAATCATAGTGCTCATCTATGAAATTACGATTCAGATTCTTGCCTGAGGTAGGTATCAAATCCGGACGATAGTTCATTGGCTGCTGTAATGATTCGAATATTCAAAAATATAAATGTTTAATTAATTGACATGCATATATGCACACCCACCTGTGAATGTTTCTCCTGAACCTTTGGTTGATGCGTGGTACGCATGTCTAGAGTCGTACGTGACCTCATTGGGGGCTTGGTAATGATCTCTACATTTATATTTTTCTGCTGCGCGTTCTCTTTGTAAAACTGACTCTGTGATCCCATGGTCCTCTTGTTTTTGTTAACAACAGTTGAGGAAGTTGACTTTTTGAGTACCATATTATCGTCCAGCTTATGCAATTCCATTGAACTAACTGAGGAAGCTTGGCCAAGCTTATTGTTACCAAATATTGCCGTCGATGTCTGTTTGGTATTGCTTATTGCTGTATTTCTTTTGTGCAGAGTTGTTGACGTCTTTTTAATTGATTTCGATGAGGCATTTATTGTTGATGCAGGTACTGTCTTGTAGGTGCTGGCCGTATAATTCAAGTTTTGATTGACCGGAAAATCTTCGGCCATTTCATAATTATCATAGTTATTAAGAATCGGGGGATTGCTGTCATTTGGATTATATTCGACATCGTGCACATTTAGGCTATCGCCTTTCTCAATTGTGTATATGTTATATTCGTCTGCTACGTGCAATGAACTTGGTCCATTAATATTTAATAAACGGCTGGAACCCATATCCATGCCATAACTATAATTAGTTTCTATGTTAAATGGTATATTATCTGGCACTCGCGCAAACTTGTTATGCTTCAACGAGGCATCAGTGCCCGCATTGTATATGGGCTCGATTGATGAGCCAATTGGCTGTGGTAGATGGTGCAATGACGACATTGGCGATGATTCAATCTGTTCCAATGCCGCCTCATTAACAACTTCCAGACTTAGGTTTGGTGACGACAGCTCATCATAAGTTTGACTCTTATTGTCTTCATGCTCTTCCTCAACTTTGGCCGGTTTTGATCCACCCAGTGATATTCTAAACTTTTGATTTCCACGTGAAAAGCTTTTTCGATTTGTTGAGTTATGTTTAAAATTGGGCTGAGCATTTGCCGGTTGATAGAAAGGTATCACACAATCAAGGCTAACTGTATTAATTGACACAGTATCAATTTCATGGCAGCCACAAATCTGAAAAGTTAGTAGATATAAATTAATGAATGTGTAAAGTATTTGACTGGCGCAAACATACAATCTTGTTTTTAATAACTTTCATATCATCCAATGAGGCCCAAGTACTTTTAATGTGATCTAATTCACGATCTGGTTCCCAGCCAATCACAGATATTCCCGAAGCGCTTCCCACAAATAGGCACTCTCCATTCTCACTGTGCACGTAAATAAAATAAGCGATTAATTCAATTATATATAAGTATATTGCTAACAACCTTACCTAAATGTAATGCATCTGATAGCTTGTCCATAGAAATGAGTTGTATGGGAAACAAGCTGCTGATGCTCCAGGTCGTAGATGGACACTGTTCCATCAACTCGGCCCGCTGCCAGTAAAAATTCAAAGGGATGAAATTGAATACAAGTGATGGCTGTTACGGGTGGCTCTGCCATAAACTCCATTATTTGTTTGCTTTTGCGTATATCCCAAATTAAGATTGATCCTTCCAGGCCAGCAGAAGCAATCCAAAGTCCATCAGGTGAAAATTTAACCGAATTTACATGAGATATGTGTCCCTTGCAAACTTTGATGCACTTATTTTCATTTTGAACATCCCAAAGTCTAAAATGAATATTAAAATACATTTATTAATAGTTTTACAATTGATAAAATATTATGCGCAAGAAATAAAAATACATTTAAAAAATAACGATTTGTATTCTAAACTGGCGCTCTATCAATATCGATATATGCTTAGTGAGAACACTGCCGCATCGTTTGCGATAGGTTCGATAAGTATAAAAAAAATACCATCATTGCAAATAAGGGCTGCCATTCAGTCGCTTTAAACAATCTGGCAACATTATTATTGTTGTCAACTTCAGTCCATAATCCAGTTTATGTTTTCATTTCTTTTTCAATTTGCTTATCATCCGTGAAAACTGCCCTTTGTACCGGCGATACAAATATAATCTTTAACTTTAAGAAGCAACTCATCTGGTAAAGGTAAATTATTTGCACATTAGGCATAACTGGTGTAAGTTTTGCGTGCAATTTTTGCAATTTAAATAGATGTGAACATACGCACTTAATATAAAGCCGTAATTATCGGCATTCAGAAATGTTGTTTGATTGTGTGTGCCCATTGGACTTGGATCAAACATTCAACATATTCAGTCTATACGTAATCCAACTTTTGTTAAAGAGAGAAGTACATATACAAAAGAAGAAATGTTTTAATGCATATAGGCATACCTTTGTATATATGTATGCATGTGTGTGTGCGCATATATGTGTGCACTAATCAAATGCTGATATCATATCAAGGGAACAAATTGCTATTATTTTCTGTATTTGAGGTTGAAAGTTCGTCGACAATTGAGAGTTAAGCAACAGTTTTTCATTCATAGGCGCCTCACAGCACGATTGGCAGTTGGTTGAACCGGATTGTACAGAACGAGTTTATACAACAAGTCTATATAGAAAATGTCTTCGGCAGCGAAATTGCGTTTTGATGGTCGTGTGGCCGTTGTGACCGGCGCCGGAGCTGGACTTGGACGGGAGTATGCACTGTTGCTGGCATCGCGCGGTGCCAAAGTGGTGGTCAATGATCTGGGTGGCAGCCATGTGGGCGAAGGCGCCTCTCAGCGTGCCGCCGATGTGGTTGTCGAGGAAATCCGCAAGAACGGCGGCGAGGCTGTGGCCGACTACAATTCGGTAATTGATGGTGCAAAGGTCATCGATACGGCCATCAAGGCATTCGGACGTGTGGACATACTTATTAACAATGCTGGCATATTGCGTGACCGCAGCATTGTGAAGACATCGGATCAGGACTGGGATCTGGTAAACGATGTGCATCTGAAGGGAAGCTTCAAATGTACACAAGCCGCCTTCCCACACATGAAGGCGCAGAACTTTGGACGCATTATAATGACCTCGTCCAATTCGGGCATCTATGGCAACTTTGGACAGGCCAATTACTCGGCAGCCAAAATGGGACTGGTTGGACTTGCCAACACGGTTGCCATTGAGGGCCAAAAGAATAACATTCACTGCAATGTAATCATTCCCACAGCAGCCAGTCGCATGACCGAGGGCATTTTGCCCGACATACTCTTTAACGAGCTGAAGCCCAGCCTTATTGCGCCCGTTGTTGTCTACTTATGCCACGAGTCTTGTGAGGACAATGGTGCGTATTTTGAGTATTTTTTTTGATAATATATTCCCTGCTAATCTGTGACTGACCAAATAGGCAGCTATATCGAAAGTGCCGCCGGCTGGGCAACCAAGGTACATACGGTGCGTGGCAAGGGATCTGTGGTGCGACCATCTCTAGAGGAACCAGTTACAGTCGAGTATGTGCAAAGTGCATGGAGTAAGGTGACGGACATGTCGGAGGCGAAACACTTGAATGCTATTGCGGAGGCATCCGGCTCCCTGCTGGAGGTGCTCGAGAACCTGAAATCCGGCGACAAGGATGCTGTCGAGGATAGTTTCACGTTCGGCAACAGGGAGCTGATTCTGTATGCTCTGGGAATCGGTGCCTCAACCAAAAACGGCAATGACATGCGCTTCTTGTATGAGAACGATGCCGACTTTTCACCAATCCCATCGTTCTTTGTGCTGCCCGGTTTGATGGTTACCATGTCCAGCTCTTTGGTAAGCAACGCGCTGCCCAATAGCGGTGCAGACCTGAGCAACATCTTGCACGGTGAACAGTATTTGGAAATTGTTGACGATCTGCCCACCAGTGGCAAACTGCTGACCAAGGGCAAAGTATTCGACGTTATGGACAAGGGTTCCGGTGCTGTGGTTGTGACTAGCTGTGAGTCTTTCGATGAGAACGGCCGCCTTTTGGTTAAGAACCAAAGCGCCATCTTTGTTGTTGGCGCTGGCAAGTTTGGTGGCAAAAAGGTGCCCATTGCCGGCGTCGTGCCTCTGGCTGCTGCCCCCAGCCGTGCGCCCGACTCATCGATTCAGTACAAGACCAGTGAGGATCAAGCTGCGCTATATAGGCTCTCCGGTGATCTGAACCCATTGCATATCGATCCCAACTTCGCTCGCTTGTCTGGTTTCAAAACACCCATATTGCATGGACTCTGCTCCCTGGGATATTCGGTTAGGGCCGTGCTGAGCAAATACGCCAACAACAACAGCGCCCTATTCAAGGCAGTAAAAGTGCGCTTCTCGGGCCCAGTTCTGCCCGGACAAACGCTCAAGATTGATATGTGGAAGGAAGGTGCACGCATTCATTTCCGCACCCTAATTGTTGAGACTGGCAAAGAGGTCATTTCGGGCGCCTATGTCGACTTGAAGGACTCTAAGGCTAAATTGTAAATACGATTTCAGCTTGAAAAGTTAAATCTTATTAAGAAAATGAAAACACTATGAACTACATTTATAGCAAAAATATAACAACATAACCAGGCGGTGGTCAAAAATATTGCAATATAAATTTATTAATATGTTAAAATTGTTTGTCCATTTGTTTTTTTAATAAATGACTTTTGTATACTACTTTCATATAAATTTGATTTAAATGAACATTTTTTGGACTTTGTACAAATTACAAAGCAAACAAAAAAAATAAGTAGAAGCGAAGTTGAGTAGAAAATTAAAAGGAAAATAAATCTTCAGTGAAATTCAAACATATTACAATATATATATACAAAAAGTATGAATAGCAGATAAGAACTGATTAAGAGTCCGATATTCATGCCAAAGTATATTTTAAACAAGAAAGATCTCAGCCCGATGATTAAATGCAGTCATATACATCAGATTTGGTATATATCCGACAAAGGTGCTTTCATATTAAAAAAACCCCATATACTTTCGACCAAGTGTTAAAATACAAGTCATATATAATATAGATATATAGCTATAGCAGCAAAGCGACAGACTTGTGATAGGATAACTTAAACATTGAGAGATGTATTTGCATAGAAGCCGACGGATAGACGGATTAAGCATATTATGGGATCAAAAATTCCCCACAGCTGCAATATACCCTTATGTGCACATGTTCAGTTAGTGCAGGGCAATCAAAACCACCTCAAATCTTGGCTAAAATAAAGCAAATGGAATGACGCATGCAGCTGATACATACGGCCCCGACAAAGATTTAGTTGGAGTGTTTGATGTATGAGAGGGAGGCGGCAGTACTTCTGCCGTCCCATTTTAAACCATAGACTAGAGCTCAAGTGACGCGCACTTCTTAGGCTGTACATTACTAAACCATATTCAGCAAAAGGTTTCAGGTTTGATAAATCGTTCTTGCGGGGTGCCATGGTTAATTAGTAATTGATTGTGTAATTGCAAAAGCCGTTTAGAATAAAAACTGTGTGGGACATAAATAACATTTGATACAAGAATAGAATGAAATTATGCCAAAAGTAATACGATCTCTGTTTAAATATGTATGGTGTATAGGCTTTGCTTTGCTTCGAGTTTCAGTCAATTAGAGTTGCGACACAATTGAGTGCCCACTTATCGAAAGAACATATATTATAATGGACTTTATATAAACAATAACTTAATATTATCCATACGGTGGAAATGGTTGTGTGCACTTACCTAACAGTTGTGTCATTGCTACCAGACACCACATATTCTCCAGACGGATTAAAATCCAATGATCGCACACTTTTCATGTGGCCGTTCAATGTTGAATAGATCTTTTGGGCATTCAGATCCCATCTGCGTATGATGCCAATATCATCAGCCGAATATACAAAGTTATCCTTATACGCAAAGCGCACGCATTCAATCGAACGATTGTGGCCCGTCAGAGACTGTTGTTGTTGTTGTTTGGAAAATTGTCGATTAGTTTTTGCATATTGTTATTATTCTTTTGCTAAGCATACAAACCATGAAACACTCGTCTTGGCCAATAGCCCACAGATTAACATTGCGATCTTCTCCTCCAGTGACCAGCACTCGTCCCGTCTCGCCCAAATCAAGGCTTGTGACTTTGCCATCGTGTGCCTTTATGTCGTCTGTGCGCATAGAAAGCAATGTTAAGTGTATGAAAAATATATATTTATCATGGGTTATCATTTTTAGTCGGACTAAAAGGTGTGAGACTGGAATTAGAAGGGGCTCTCCTTGGCGGAGTCTTCAAAAAAACGTCCGATTTCCTTACTATTTACTTTTGAATAATGCTAAATAAGCATTACAATTGTTACCTCTACATATATATTTTTAAACTAAATTAAATGAACATATGCAATATCAATATCGCGGAATGCAACAGCATGGGCTACAAATACGGTACGCGCTAATGTTCCTGCTGTTATGGCTATGCTATTTGGGAAGCTGTTTATGTTAATATACAATTCTAGTCTGTTTATGTTATCTGTTTATGGTAGTTGTTGTCGTGACCTCATCTTAACCTAACTCCAATACGGGTCCATGTACGCACGCACAATTTACACACGCACACACACACACACACACACGTGTGCACATGTGTAACTCTACAGCTCCTTACAAGGGCTGCATCCCACATGCACTTATTTGCATTTTATTTGCCAAAACAGGCTGAACATAGCTCACGCACACACACACACACACGGAACAGTCATACAGATGTATGTATGGATGTCGCCTAGTAAGTATGAGAACTACTTTCATAGAGGCAAAATTCTATTTTACTTACAGATCTTTGCTATTAGATTTCTCGGCAGCGCCATTTCCAATTAAATTGCCGTTATAGATGTATGTTTATGTTGACAGCGATTTTATGTGCTTTAAGTGGCAATATTGTAAATATTTTATTTTATTTTGTCGCAGGTGTGATAATTTTTGGTTTGAGTTAAGTCGGATCAGCTGTCCGCTATCTCTTTAATGTGAGTCTCTAATACTATTTTATTGACAAATACAAAAAATCATAAACGTATTTGAACGGACGTTACAATCCGTTTTACATGATTAACACGGTAATATTATTATACAACCGTCACATAGAATAACGATAAATCAGACAATATTTGTAGACAAAACAAATGCACATTATATATATGGATTACCAGGGCTGGTATATCAATTCTTTGGCTCATATTACGTTGCCACCTAGTTTTTCATAGCGATATTTAATACAAATTTTATAAAAATACCCAAAGTATCATGGAGTGCTATCGATATTATATCGCGTATGACAACTCTGCGGTCCCATCAGGCATTCCTCAAAAAAGCATCATCATTGCCTTGTCAAAAAATTTGCCGACTGCATTATTTTGGATAGCTTAATATAGTCGCTTTGCTTTACGCGAATAATAAAAACTAATTAAGGATGTCTTCACGTTACGATCGTGCTGTTACTATTTTCTCGCCCGATGGTCACTTACTTCAAGTTGAATATGCTCAGGAAGCGGTTCGCAAAGGTTCCACAGCGGTAAGTGCCCCATTTGTTATGTTTTAGTATGAGTCTAGATTTACCCATGTGTGCACACTAATTCATATATTTATAAAGGTTGGTGTCCGTGGCGGCAACTGTGTCGTCTTGGGCGTTGAGAAAAAATCAGTAGCCAAGCTGCAGGAAGACCGCACAGTTCGTAAAATTTGCGTACTCGACCATCACGTTGTAATGGCTTTTGCGGGCCTGACTGCGGATGCTCGCATCCTTATAAATCGTGCCCAGGTGGAATGCCAGAGTCATCGTCTGAATGTTGAGGATCCAGTGACCCTTGAATATATAACAAGGTAAATAAAATCAGATCTCAACCATATTTGAGGTTGGTTAATTACAAGAAATGCCCAACTTTTGCAGATATATTGCACAGCTGAAACAAAAGTACACTCAGAGCAATGGACGTCGTCCATTTGGCATATCGTGCCTTATTGGAGGCTTTGACGCTGATGGCTCACCTCATTTATTCCAAACCGAGCCATCTGGCATATTCTATGAGTACAAAGCCAATGCCACCGGGCGTTCAGCAAAAACGGTACGCGAATTCTTTGAAAAACAGTACCGCGAAGAGGAAGTTAGCACTGAACGTGGTGCTGTGAAGCTGGCCATTCGCGCACTGCTCGAAGTTGCCCAATCCGGTCAAAATAACTTGGAGGTGGCCATTATGGAAAATGGCAAGCCTCTGAAAATGCTAGATCGCAAAGTTATTTTAGAATATGTGGACATCATTGAAAAGGAAAAGGAGGAGGAACTTGAAAAGAAGAAACAGAAAAAGTAATGCCAATGCCATTTTAATTAGATGGGGAATTTGCACTGCGTTATTCTTTAAAAAAATCGTCTTTTTAATTTCATATTTTTATAAAATTGAAAAGCTGTACAATGGAAAACAAAAACATTTTAAAGATATGTATAAAATACATGGTCAACAAAACAAAAACGCAGCTTTAAATTTAATGATTATGATACAAATGGTCGGTTCTGTGTGGTGGGTGCTAACCAAAAATAAAATTACCTAAAAACACTGGTTACTGTATAAGACAAATTATTTGTAAATTTGGCCTTGTCAATTGGGGATTGTGCTCATTAATTGAACTATATTAATTCTAAGGGAGTATTAATAACATATATGTAGTTATTAATACGAATAGAATAAAACAATTTGTTTTTGGGTTACGTTAATAAAGGATAAAGTATATACATAGTATAGATAAAGTATATACATAAATGTTTCCAAACTATAAGCAGGCATTTATTTGTCAGACATAAATCTAAGGATATATTGATATAAATTTTAAAATTGAATGTGGAAGTGTTAACAGCGGCGATATTTGGGGAGCGATAACAAAGCTTTATGTGTAAGTTGATTCGATACGCACATATTTACCCATCCCTAATATGAACAAGTACTATTAAACACTGACAGCAACAGTGCTGGAAATTGCACGCCTAAGTTCATATGAGAATTTTGCTTAGTTTACTACTACCACTGTCCGGAGTCGGAAGTTCTGTCAGAAAATAGCGAAAACAAAAGAAAAAACAACAAATTAAAATTGTATAAAGCGAGCGAATACCGAGAACGAAAATATTAACACATCTGCTGTTATACGACAAAAACGCCAGCATTGTTTCGCTTTTCATTCCCTTGCCTGTCATTCCGAACCAAGCAACGCCATCAGACTAAAATCAATAATTTAGTTGTGTGGTTTTCGCGGCTTTTTGCGTTTTCTTTAAAAAACAATCAATACCCGAAGGTAACGTGTGTAGTAAAAAAAAAAGTAAAAAAAAAAAAAAAAAAAAAAAAAAAAAAAAAAAACAATTCACCTCAGTGTGCGTTTGCATTCGTTGACGCTTGACATATTGGTACACAATTTATTTATTTATCTTATATATTTTTCTTCTGTTTTATTAATCTTGCATACATAATATACATAACACACGTATTAACATTGCAAACAAGATAATTTGGTATCCTGCAACCCAGCACTTAACACGACGTTAAAAGCTGTCCAACAAAGAACCACGTACTATTTATGAAATGTACACACACACACGGTGCATGCATATCTATGTATGTGTGTACATACATACAGATCTGTTGAAATATACATATGTATGTATTTATGTATGTAAATACATGCATACATACACACATCAACTTTAAAGTTTGCATTTGTGTTTCCGCCTATTAGAGAATGCGTGAACCAGAAAACTGAAATAAAATCTAAAATATGTAGATACAAAATGTACATAAACACTTACATATGTATATGATGTAAATGTGTAGATATATATTTTAATTGTAAATTGTAAAAACTTTTTAATATGCAATTGATTTTAATTTTAACACATGCCTACATTCATATAATATATGATGATTCTTTTTATTGCACCTAATTATGTATATATGTACATACTGACGTTCTAATCTTATCTTGGGCATAAGTAGTCCGCCACGTTTGGAAAAGGCCTATCCCCTTATCTCTGTATCTGCTCGAGTCACTGAAACTATCTCCAATATGCACGTACAGACACAGTTTTGGAAGAATTCCATAGAGATATGTACCTATGTATGTATTTGTATATCAAAATCTGAGATGCCTCATCTTACAACTTTTTTGAGAAGCAAATGCGTATTACTCACCCTCTTATCCTACTGTCCCATAGCTCAAGATCTTGTATGAGGGATATACGGAGCTGAAATAACTGGATCAGAGAACTCAGAACATTTGAAAACTCTGTTAAAAACCTGAGCTGAGACCGAACATTTCAATAAATGTTTTTTAAGAATACTTGTAAATATATATTGTAATCATTAAATTGATCATATTTTTCATTCCAATAATAATAATAATAGAAAATTTAAGAATTTTTGAAAAATATTTTTCAAAAATAAACTGTAGGATATTTGCATTCTTATTGAAAGATTCCTCTTTCCCGTCGCGTACACTCGGCCTGCCGATGTGGGTTACTTCCTCTTGTTTTTTGTTTTTTTTTTTCTATTGTTTTTTTTTTTTTTTTTTGGTTGTATGTATGTATGTATGTGTTGACCCGACCTGACACTCTCGTATTTCACATGTAATACAATAGAATGGGCACAGAAACCAAGAGCAACAGTTACACAGGACAGATTTCAACAAGTGGCGGCAACCCTAAAGTGATGAAAGATTCTTTATCTTTAGTTCGTCAAACGGTCAAACAGCAATCGAACCAAATAAATTTGAATTCGAATTCATATTCAAGCGAACAGAACGCGGGTGATATACGACCAAAGCAGGAGGATAATACAGCAAAAGACGTGATTGTACCATTTGTTCCGATATTTGTTGAAGAGGCTGATGTTATTCAAGGTGCTAAGGATATATTGAAAGTAATTCGACCGAATTGGGACCTCAATCACGTTGACTTTAAGGTAATGTAAACTAAATTTAACTAAGCTTTATAAAACCAGCAACAAACATCAATGTGTCCATTTTCTACTTTTGCAAGATATCCATATCCGAAACATTGTTGTTATCAGTACATCTTCTTATCCAAATTGATGTGCGCCTATGGTAAATACACTGGGCATTCATAAGTTTAAAAAAAAAAAAAACTAAAAAAAAACCATAGTATGTATATACCTAGTATATAGTATACCCAAATCGATATACATATATATAGATATAGATAATTTGTCAAAAAATAAGGAAAAGGTTTGTGTCTGAATGCATAACACGAGAATCCAATTAGATATTTACTCGTTAAATCTCGACTCAATAACAACTTGTACTCATATAATTATAAAGCTATATACTATATATAATATATAAATTCACCGACCCCTCGTCAGTACTGCCAATAATGCAGCTTTGTTTTTGTTGATAGAAGCTAATTCAATGTTAATGGAAATATGCAGGGTCATTGCACAACCTCTTAATGACGAAGTGTGTGTGCGTGTGTGTGCGTGTGTGTGCGTGTGTGCGTGTGTGTTGTGTTGTGGGTTTTAATATTAAGGCGTGACACCTCGGGCATTGCTAAAGCGATTGCAGTTCTCGAGACGTGGGACTGTCAACTATTTAATATATAAAATAACAAAAACAATTAACTCAAATACGTTTTGGTGCTTGGTGTAAGGGCAGTCAAGTATTTTAAGTATTATTATCGAAGCGGCAAAACCAGTTTTAACTATTATTGAAAAGGGTGCTAATACCAGCTGTACCTATTTGTACATTCAATTATTGGCAATTAGCTAAAATACGTATACGTATAGATCGTGTATACGCGTGTAAATATTATACATACAGGAACTGGTTCATTTGCTTTAATGATAATGATCTCTTCACATACATACCTACATACCTACATATGTACATACATGCATACATACCTACATCATGCATACAAATGCGTGAATACAAGTCGTGCTTAGCGCTAACGCGAATTCACTTGAATCAAAAGAATTTTGTTGTATTTTCAAAATATACCGTTCGGCCGAGGCTTATCAGAACTATTACGCCTGGACCCCCGGAGTACTGGGTGCGGCGTGCATATGTATGTTTCGTACTCGTGTCTGCTCATAAGTATAGTTTTAATGAGCACATGTTTGTTCGTATCATTGAGGGCTTTACGGTTTACGAACTGGCATTCCAAATGTCACAAAGTTTATCACTTTTAATTACCAACACACACACATGTTGCTGTGTGTGTGTGTGCGTGTGTGTGTGTGTGTGTTTAAATCTGTGCAAAATATTTTGTAGAATTAGTAACTATGCTGATTGTGTTCGCTGATTAATCAAATATTACGAATTCAACTTTGGGTGTAAACAACTTTAAACGTTGCAGCCAAGAGTTCTTGACTAGAAAATACCCTGTACACACACACACACACGCACACATGCATGAAACGCAAACAAATACAAACAAAGCACATAAACTCGTTATTTGATTAACTGTGGTATTTATTATCAGATCGTAAAGAAATTAACAAGTCTGATAGATAGCAAGCTTTTTTTTATATATATAAGTAAGATTATAAGCTTGTCAAATCGCTTTATAAGATTACAAGGAATGCAATGAAAACATTGAGCTAGCATGTGATATATGTATATATATGTATATATGGATCACATTCCTTATGAAAGGTTTCAGTTTCGCATTTGTAGAACTATATAATACCCATTAGCTTGGGTGAAAGAAAAAAAAAACCCCCCTTTTACTAACTTCATTTCAAAGCTATCTCAATATACATATTTTCGATGACAATAATTGTTTAATTTTTGCTTACCTTCGTTTTTCAGAAATTTACAGATGGCATAACAAATAAGCTAGTCGGCTGCTTTCACAATAGTTCCAAATTCGGCAATGATAATGACGACTCCTATCTATCAATTAGCAATGCGCAGAGAATATTGCCGGTACAATCTGAGGATCCAGTTATCCTTCAAGAGGAATTTACAACGATTGATACTGAGACAACGGACCGTTTACCTGTACAATACTCCGATAACGTAGTCCTCGTTCGGGTATATGGTAATAAAACGGACCTATTGATCGATCGGAAAGCTGAAACGCAAAATTTTCAATTACTGCACACGTACGGCTTGGCGCCATCGCTCTATGCAACCTTCAAAAATGGCCTCGTTTACGAATACGTACCTGGTATCACCTTAAATACAGAAAGTGTGCTATGCCCAGATATTTGGCCATTGGTTGCTCGTCGTATGGCCGAAATGCATCGTGTGGTAAGAAAGAATGGAGATGCCAAACCATTGCCAATGATATGGAAAAAAACGCAAAGCTTTCTTGATTTAGTACCTGAACGATTTAGTGATGCTGATAAACACAAAAGGTAAACTACTTCCAGAATGTCTACTCGATGTGATTCACAAACATGGGATGGTATGGTGTTTAATTGCAGAGTGAATGGAACATTTTTACCTATTGGACGACTACGTGAAGAGTTTAATAACTTGTACAAATACTTGGAGGCATTAAAGAGTCCAATTGTTTTCTCACATAACGACCTACTATTGGGAAATGTTGTCTATACGAAATCAAAGAACGCTGTCAACTTTATCGACTACGAGTACGCTGATTACAATTTTCAAGCCTTTGATATTGGTAATCATTTTGCGGAAATGTGTGGCGTCGATGAGGTTGACTATACCCGATATCCGAAACGGGAATTCCAACTGGAGTGGCTGCGTGTTTACCTTGAGAATTATCTGCAACGGAATAACATCCAAAACGATGATGTTGAACATCTATTTGTCCAAGTGAATCAATTCGCATTGGCAGCACACATTTTCTGGACAGTTTGGTCTCTATTACAAGCTGAGCATTCCACTATTGACTTTGATTATGTTGGGTGCGTATCATACAGATATACCATATATATTTATATATATATATATAACAACAATAGGTAACTGGACTTTTTCTATTTTCAGCTATGCATTTCTTCGGTACAATGAATACTTGGCTCGCAAGGAGGAATTCTTATCATTGACTGCATCGAAGAACAATAAATGATTTTTTCCCAGAAATTTGCAAATAAATGAAACGAAATACACAATTTTGTGACCCCCCAGTGATGTACTTATATATGTATATATACATATATGTATAAACTATGGCTAGCATTGATATATGTACAATATACATAGTATATATACATTCGTATCTGTATACATATGTATATAAAATGTGTTCACAAAATATCCTTAAATTAGTGCCGCGTCCATACCAGCCGTAGTCTATGCATATATATATAATGAATTTGTATATGTTCTTTAATTTGTATATTGATATTTTGTAGTCATAAATAAATAAACATAAATATTTAGTTTTCATATCGTTGCATCTACCGACACATGCTGTCATTTTTCCAAGTATATATAAGTATAAGTATATATTGCACATTATATCATATGTAACTCAAATCCATTTCTTTGTTTAAGCAGTACAAATTGCGAGTATAGTATACAAGGTCCCGTATAAAATAGATTTATCAAAAAATCGAATCGCTCCGCTGCATGACTCATGGCTAATACTTGGAAGCCCGGCGAAATGAATATCCATTTTTCTTAATGCCAGACATAAATATCGAATATGGAGCTTTTGGATTCAGTTGTGGAATATCTAGTTTTTCTTTTTAATGTTACAAATATCTATGTGCACGACAAAAAAAGAGAAGGAAAATAGTATTGCCATCTTTCTTCCACTGCTATAAAACAAGTGAGAGAGAGAGGGAGAAAAACGCATGCACAACGTGCGCAGTAAATAAATGTCTTAATATAAGATTCAAAGATTCGTTGTACATTAAATCCAACACTATGTCCTGGACTTGGTTATGGCATTCTTTTGACTTGTTTATTTTGTTTGAGTGTTCGCCGCAAAATGCAAAACACATACATGCATTTGTACATAGTTAGGAATATCTATTAATATTTATATTTAGTCGTATACCAAGAGCTTTTACACAACAACGAATTTATTTAATTTATACAAAAATATTCTGGTATAATTTCAAATACTTGCTACATATACTTTAATATTATACCGTTGTTCGATTTCCGTCCCCACCAAGTTTTTGAACAATCTGAAATGTAATGAAAATAATAATTATTATTACTATAGCTGTTAATTTATAAACATATAGAATTGGTATTGCTGCCTTTTGCAACTAGTTTTTGACAAATTTGGTGGGTGTACACAAGTGACAACTAAAATGTTTCGATATAAAATCAAAAGTTATCGATACATTTTTTGTACATGGTTGCCATCTCTAATTTGTCAGCTGTCATACCTAAAATAAAAGGAACGAGAGACAAGCAAGCGACTTTCCTAAAATTACGAATTATTCATAATAATGGCGAGCTATATTGCTAGGAAGGGACCTTTGGTATTCTGTAAGTATGCATTAATGATGCCAGCCATTGTATTGCAGAATCGCAAAATGCGCAACCTAACCGCTGCATCTTTCGATGATTACGTAAATATGTAACACAAAATTTGCCATTCCACATTCCAGCCAACCTGGGCAAGTGGGCCTACAATTTGTCCGGATTCAACCAATATGGTAAGAAGTGAGATTCAATGGAAAATATTCTTTAAATCTATCATAAATATCATAAAGGTCTGCACCGTGATGATTGCCTCTACGAGAACGAAGATGTTCAGGAAGCAATCCGCCGCCTTCCACGCAAATTGTACGATGAGCGCAACTACCGCATAATTCGTGCTTTGCATTTGTCTATGACGAAAACCATTTTGCCTAAGGAGCAGTGGACCAAATACGAAGAGGATGTTAAGTACTTGGAACCCTATCTGAAGGAGGTTGAACAAGAGCGCATCGAGCGTGAGGAGTGGAACAAGAATCATTGAATTCTTCTCACTGGGCGGATTTGTAAATGTTGAAAATACATAGCTTAGATTCAAATTAAAATTTCTATGAAGAATTCATTTTTAAGGTATTGGATATTTAAGAAAATAACTAAAATTTATTCATAGGGATCGTGTACTTGAATTGTTATGCAGATGCTGGGGCTCAGCCGCTCTGTTATGACAAACTTGAATGCATTACTAACTTATTCGTTCCGACTGCACTTATGTTTGGAATGTATACTATTTGTAAATTTTGAGCTTATGCGTTCGAATTGTCCGTTTTACCTTACCTTTTGCATAAATGGTAGATTGAATAATGATCCTAAAACAGGCACACGGCCAAGGAAATTGATGGCTACAGGGAAGAAGCCGCTGCAAAGAAAAGGGTTTATGAATAATTATTTGCAGCAAAGCAAAAAGGTATGTTCAGCAAAAGCAATTGATCGGAAATGTTGCACGTGCTACCGTGTTAACGCTCAAGGTGTTATCAGCGAAGAGTTCAACTTAAACAAACATGTGGACCCACCTGAATAGTGCAAAAAATCCATAGGATTCAATTATCATGCCAATAATGGGGAAACCAAGCAGCACGATGACAATCCCACCGAAGAAAGCTGTTGTCCCTTTGACTTTATGGCGTTGAAAGAAAAAGCGTAAGGTTCGCTCCACTCCAATAACGCAGCCAAGGCCTGATATGAAGAGAATCTATAGGAAACGGTATTGCTACAGCTTTAGCGGATATAAGAATTTAAAGACAATCTCACTCACATTTCCTATAGCAAGCAAGCCTTTGTCGAAAAGAAGCAACATGCCAAGAAATAAAAACGATATGCCGAAGCCAGCCAAGCCGATGCCGATTTCTGCAAATATTGTGCAAGAATTAAACAAATTGGTTAATATGCCAATAAATTAAAGCGAATATCTCACATACTTTGGAGATCTGTTATTTCAATCATTCTGTCTTGTTTGGGTTATATATGCTTAAAAGGATAAGAAATTGCATTGGGTGTATTCCACGTAAACACCAAATGTTTCATTATTATGAATATAAACAATCATTGCAGGGTTGCATGCTTTAAAAAAGAGTGCTGGAAAACACCAAAAAAGTATTACATACGTACCTCGACTTCACACACACAATACTTTTTACAATATATTTCGGTTTTGACATTAAATCAAAATGTTAAGCAAAAATTATGCAAGTAAAAAACAAAATAGAAATGTCCAAATATTTTTTGAGTGAACCTTCATACACCTACAATATTATTCCAGTTACCGCCAAAGCCGGTCACAGCCGACCTACTCTACCCATTTTGGATGCAAAAAAAAATGTTACAACCATATTTTCGAAAATGCATTATCCAAAAAACCGATAATTGATTGACTTTAAATTTTATGGCTGCCGCTACCTTGCCCACATTCAATCGATTAAACACGAAGCTTGATTTCGATAAGTTGACAGGCACACGATACATACATTTTGTACATCCCTAATTTCACACGCCATTTTTACAATAAAAAGTCAAGTCAAATTTTCGACAGACGCTTGAGTTGAAAAAGTGCAAAGAGGAAGTTCTCTAAAAAGAACAAAATTTTCTTAAAGAAGAAATTAGATTATACGTGCATTAGTTATGGATCGTAAGTGTGCATTAAAAACTGTATAGCAAAGAGCAAATAGCAATGAATTTGCCATTTTCAGGTGGCGGTTATGGTGGCGGTGGCGGTGGTGCCGGACAGTACAATAATTTTGCTGTTCCTCCGCCAAATTACCAACAAATGCCAAACAAAACTGGTAATTATAATGAGCCCCCTCCAAATTATAACAAACCAGGCGGAGGTAAGTCCAATTGTAATTATCAAACAGAAACTCTTCACTGAAAAAATTACAATCTGTTTCTTTAAGGTTATGATTCCGGCCATCGTGGTGGAGGTGGAAGCAGCGGCGGCGGCGGCGGTGGTGGCGGTGGCTCATGGAATGATAGAGGCAATTCTTATGGGTATGTTATTAATATTATGCTTTTCGTTTAATACAATTGGGGATAGTGTAAAGTGAGGCAACGAGTATTCAATTCAGAGTGTGTCGCCGATTAAGAGAAACATCAAATATCAAGCAATAGCTTGCATATATATGTACATACAAATACTAATGAAAACACGGAAATCCACGTAAATATCGAAGAAAAAACTGCAAATCAATTTTCACAAATTGGACATGCCAATAAAAAAAAAGTACAAAACTAGAACTTCGATAAAGTTGCAACCGAAAAAGAAGAGAACAAATGAAAATATATAGAGTCATAACGTAATGAAGTAGAGCCAAAAATGTTTTTATTGTGTTCATTGTGACGATCAAAAGCAAAAATGTCGTAAGCCCAGAGAAAAAAGGACATCTTAGAGCAAGTTGGTGTTGGTTTTATTTATTGTTTTTTTTTTTTTTATGTTTTAGTTGAAACCCGGAGTATTAACTAAGATACCTAAGCAATTGCACGCCTTTAAAGCGCCAACGATAAAAACGTAGACTTCGGTATTCTCAATGAACTTCATGTGTGTGCGAATTAAAATGAATGACAACAATTAAGATATAACGAAATGCACAATTGAAATGACAACGAATCAAAGTGGTATATAATGCAAATCTGGTTTTATTTCCATGATTGTTCAAAAGCTGCAAGCAAAGATGCTGTCGTCTGTTTAGTCTTACGCCTCTTTAATGATAATCGTAATTGTAAAGTGAAGAGGAGTGTGATTCACGACTCTTGAATCACGACTTTAATCAATTTTAAAGAGGTTCAAGTGGTATACTGTATGTGGGCATACACTTTAACATTTAACATAGTCAAATGAATATTTGTATGAATTTAAACTAGACTAAGGTGTTACAAAAAGCTGCAACTAACAACAGTACACTTCTCGCCGAGTTGTGTGCGAAGGAAGCCGCTTGCCAGCATAACGGGATGCCATCCCTCTCGAAACAAGTAATTCGTAATTTGGGCACACTTTCCGCATACCACCCGTATGGTATGGTCAGCCATCTGCAACGGCATTACAAATTAAGTTTATGAAAATAATTAAAAATAAATTGATTTTGTTGGTTGGAACCGTTAATGCGAGAGATTATCGCAATTGTTATACAAAACCGAGTTGGTATAACAGTATAACAGTAGCTATGTATAACACAATCGAAGTATGTCAAGCAGTTATCGACTTATCGATAGCATAAAAATGGTGTCCCATAAGCGCGGCTTGGATCAAAATTTGTCAAAGTGGGTGTTTGAAATATAATATTACAAAGGTCACCTGCGTCGCAATTAAATATATTTCCCATTAATTGCTTGCAACATAATTCATTTATTATTTTCATAACACATAGAAATTATGCAACATATAAAGGAACTAAAAAGAGTTACAACTCTTAAGAAGATTGGATCAATATTAAAGATTAAATATTTAAGTAAAAAGCAATATGTTGGACACAATTATGGAAAAGCCGAAAATTACTTTTATAAAATATATATCTGTATGTGCTTCTAATTACTATGCAAACCATATATTATGCCACAAGTCGGATATAACCCGAGCCAAATTCTATATTCGTATTCATTACTTATTCAAGCTGGCTTTTAGTAATTTTTAAAACCATTTTTAACCGCTTATTTAAATAAATTGAATAGGCCCTCTTAACCCTAAGCAAGTAATCGTAAGTGTTTATCATCAAAGAAAAAATATATACATTTAATTTTACGATTTAAACACTAGCTTTGCAACAAAATGTTATGTAGTTTGTCTGGTATTATGTTTTATGTAATCTTATTGATTTGTCCATGACAAGCAAAGTGAAAGTGTATCCATGCAGAGCTTTGAAGATAAAAGGCAATATGGCTAAGATCTTGAAAATATTCTGTGGTTGCTCAGCATGCTAAGGGAGCATTTTGTGCCGGAAAACAAATTATGCCTGGATCATTTTTCACAGAATTTCTGAAATTATTTTCATACATATTTTAAATATACTTCTTGTCTTATATAAATATAGTGATTGTTCGGATAAAGTTAACATATTCCCTAGTTAATTGTTCAAATATCTGCATGGCTACGGTAAAGCCTCGGTGGTCCGAAAAAGTTATTCATAAACGGAGGCGAAAACCTCTTAATTTATTTGTATATTCCCAGTAATGGGCGTGCCAAAATCATATACGAAAACAATTATGTAGATTTAAATTCATTTATATATATCCATGAGAGGTTATTTACCAGATCACTTTGATTGAGTTCGCTCGGATGCTTTGGAAAACGGATAAGAAAGAACTCCTCAATTTTGGCGACGGACACATGTCAGATTGATATCAAAGTGCGCTGGTAAAACGTCGGCGGGCAACATTATATAGACTTATATATAAATATATAATATATATATATATATGTATATATGTATATATATGTATATATAGTAGTAAGCAGTAGATATGTATAAATAAACGGTCATATATTGTTGTACGATAAACGGAGGCGTGGGCGTAAACTTCTTCATCATAATGCATTACAATCCAAACATCAAAATCAAAACATTAAATAAGTTATTCAATATCCTCTTTTAGAAATGGAGGCGCCAGCAAGGACAACTACAACAAAGGTAAAATAATGCAAAACAATTTGCAATCATATCGAGTAATGTATAACATTAATTTACTACAAAATCAAATCAAAAAAAAAAAAAACAAAACAAAAACAAAAGATTGTAGAGAGTATACGACAAAAACTAAAAGAAATTACAAATATTTCACTTGCGTGTTGTTATATTTTGTTTAAAAATCTGGTGCAAATTATAACAGTAACAGAGTATAAAAGCTTCGTATCCAAATTCGATAAACCTAGTCAAGAGTCAATTTCGAGTCCAGCTCCTATGCGCAAAACTGTTGTCTAAAGGTGTATTCAAGCATTAAGTTATTAAGTTCAGAGTTTAATGAAAATGCGTGACCATGGGTCACCTTGGTTCTGGTCGCTGGTCACTGGTTATCCTGGTAAATAAATGCCACAAAGATTTCTTAGGGCTATTGGTTTGGTACATGATCTTTAATTAAGTGTCATTTCTGTGCGTGTGTGTGCGTCTGTGTACTGTGTCTATAACTATATCAAGCTAAACTTTAACGAGAGTATATCCAAAAAAAAAATAAAACAAAATAAAAACAATACCCCCTCCCCCCAAAAATAAGTAAATCGGTGTAATATATTTACAACCCATGAGGTGTTCTTTTGAAATTCTGGTTTCAAATGAAAAGCAATACCACATAAGATTAACTAGATGAAATGCAGGAAAAGACCATATAAGAAGCGTCGTTATATACATATATATACACTTTATATTGTATACATATAGAGTTTAAGAGAGTGTGTGCGCTTTGGTCCTGCCCCCATTTTTGATATGTGTGTTCTTGATACGATTGCAGTCCCACACTACTTCGCTGAGGGTTAATCCTTTTTCTTAATATAAACTGTTTGTCGTTATCCTTCATTTCTAATGTGCTCTTCTGTTTTGTAGGATATGGCGGCAGTAGCAGCAGCGGTGGAGGAGGAGGCAGCAGCAGCGGTGGCGGCGGTGGTGGCAACGATATGATCACACAAGAAGATACCATCTTTGTTTCTGGCATGGATCCATCCACCACAGAGCAGGACATTGAGACTCACTTCGGTGCCATTGGCATTATAAAGGCAAGTGTAGCATTTACCATCATGATCCATTTTCGTGCATTGTGCCTAATACAGATTATTATTGTTGGCATTTAATAGAAGGATAAGCGCACCATGAAACCAAAGATTTGGTTGTATAAGAATAAGGAAACTGGCACTTCGAAGGGCGAGGCCACAGTCACATATGATGATGTGAATGCAGCTCAGTCGGCCATTCAGTGGTTCGATGGCAACGATTTCAACGGCGCCAACATCAAAGTTTCTCTGGCCCAGCGCCAAAATAACTGGAACAAAGGCGGTGGTGGCGGCGGACGCGGTGGCTTCGCTGGACGTAATCGTGGTGGTGGTGGAGGCGGCGGCGGCGGTGGAGGTGGTGGTGGTCGCTTTGATCGCGGTGGCGGTGGAGGCGGCGGTGGTGATTTCGACCGTGGAAGCGGCGGCGGCGGTGGTCGCGGTGGCGGTCGCTTTGGTGGCGGCGGCGGCGGTGGTGCAGGTGCCGGTGGCAACGTGCAACCCCGTGATGGAGATTGGAAATGCAGCAGCTGCAACAACACAAACTTTGCTTGGCGCAATGAGTGCAATCGGTGAGACATTAAAACATTTTGCTACATCATCGGCAAACCTTCATAACGTGTGTTACTTTCATTCTAGTTGCAAGACACCAAAGGGCGACGAAGACGGCAACTCTGGAAACAGTGGTTACGGCGGAGGTGGTGGCGGCGGTGGCGGAGGCTATGGCGGCATGAATGATCGTGGCAATGATCGCGGCTCCGGTGGTGGCTACCAAAATAGAGATCGTAGCGGCGGCGGTGGCGGTGGAGGTGGTGGTTATTCACGTTATGGCAATGATAATGGCGGCGGTGGCGGTGGACGTGGACGCGGCGGTGGTGGCGGCGGCGGTGGTGGCCGTCGTGACGGTGGCGCTATGCGCAATGATGGCGGCATGCGTTCCAGACCATATTAAAGAGGGCATGCCATCAAAACTATTTTTTCTAACTTACGTATTAATTATACTACATAGCAAGTACTCACTTTTAAATGTACTTTTATATTACACCCTCCACCAGTCAAAACAAAAACCCAAAATGCATTCAATCATGCATTCGAGTCAGTATCTATTGATTTCACAATCCACTAATACAAAGGAAAACAACAACAGAATTTGTTACACGTTGTAACATTTTATTACTCGTTTTGACTTTAGCATATTATATGTATATGTAATCTAATTTTACAAAAACAAACATAATTGTAATAGATACATACAAATAAAAAATTAATAAAAAAAAATATATATATATTAGACTGGTTAAAAAAAACTGCTTTGCCACACTTACAGTTTCTTTTGACAACAAAACATGTTATATTAAACCGCAAACTGTTTCGAACTCAAAATTTCCAATCATATTTACTAAAAGCTTTTTGAGGAAAACCCAACCCAAAGCACAAATAGGTTTGGCAGACTTATCTAACCATATTTGATAGATACCAATTTTGGGTAGACAATTAATACGGCAGTTGTAAATATGCGAAAGCCGACCCTAAAAGCATTGAATTGATTCGATCCGAATTATATAATCATAACAATATGCTTTCTGAACTATATCACAGCTCCCTCTATTTAGAGACTTGATAGTAAAGAAAAAAAGATCCAACCCAAATGAATCATTAATTATGGGTCAATTCCGTTAGAGTGTCTTGAAAAATGACACTATATCTCGTGGAAGAGCACATTTTTATTTGACCGATTGGGGATTGCTTGAGACTTAGCATATTAAAAGAGAAAGAAATAGATAGAGCGAGAGACATGTTTGTCTCGCTTATGCGCAGTGTTAAGGGAAGGATAAGAGTTGTTTTATTAAAAACAAAAATGTTTCATCTTTGGCAGTTGCATTATCTAGACGGTGGACCATTAACTGCTAGCTGAACTATTGTTCATAGAGTTTGTAGTTACAACGCATATAAAGTAAAAATAAATTAAATAAATAAATAGTTTTCCGTTTTAAATTAAACATTAATGCTCCTTTAATAATATTCCTGACATTAACGTGATTAGCTGCCCAATTGTTATTTATATCTTAAGCGCGCTATTAGCGCATAATGAGAGATTACGTGGAGAGTTGCGTCATAAAACGACGATTAACAATTGACTGGGATTTTATAAAATTTTAATAATTATATTTAAATGAATATACATTTGTAATATTACAGTTCATCTTTTTCCAGCAAGGTGTAGCGATGTTTTGAAGGGCCCAGCTCCTTAAATTTAGACTCAGGCGGCGATGTACCCTTACCGCTAATAGCATTTTCAGACTGCGCTTCATTACTTGAGGGATCCGGCCCATAATGAAACTCCCTGTTACAAGATGTTTGATTAGTTTTTGCAAAAATACTAGTTGAATTAAATCATACCTATGAAGTTTCCCACTGTAAAGATCTTGCAGGAATTGCTTTAGCTTGCCAGGCGTATACATATCATTGAAATGCGGGAAGAGATACATGTGCTTGAACGAGTCAATAGCAATAACGGGTAGATCCTCCTCAGATTTTCCCAAGTGATGTAGTGGATGCGCAAACCGTTTACCATCCGCAGTAAGGAAGTTAACATTCTCTGCAATAATATAATAAAATCAAATATATTTATGCATATATACATATACAGGGGTAATGCTGCAAACATACGCTTTTCATCCAATAATTGCTGCTCAATGATTGCTTTGTAATCTTTAATGGAATTCAGATCATCGGGACGATAGAACAGAATCAGGAACGGCAGCCCTTCTTCCGTTAGCTCCTCGGCGCTCTCGAATGTTATCTCTCTGACAAGCGGTACACATTTCTCCTGGATCCAAACCTTGAGTTCATCGAAATTGCTTAAGCTGCCGGTATAGGTTTCATCGTTGTCGTGAGATAGGGCGACATCCGGTCTGAACACAATAATGGGTGTGCCTGAAAATATGGTATGTGCATTAAGATTTTAAATAACCAATAAATAGATATATTCATAATGGCCACTAACCTGGTGGATGCATTGCCTGAGAGGCATCGCCAAATCCGACATGGAATTGACAATCTTCCTTGAGGTTGGTTGCAACCTTGCGGAATATGTCGTATTCGGGCTGATCTCGGCGATCGAAATAGCCTATAATGCTACGCTTCTTGGAATCAAGAATCTCCAAGTCTTTCAAAGATTTAAACTCTTTAATAGGATCCTCCAATTGCTTCTTGACAAACTCCAAGAATGCCTCTGCCGAGCGCTGACCTCGGTACTCACGCTTGCTCAGCTGTCCATTGCGGACAATCTTTAATGTGGGATATTTACTGATGTGGAATCGGGACGCAATCGCCGTTTCACGATCGCAATCCACTTTTCCTAGCACAACTTTCCCAGCTTCGGGGAATTCCGCTTTGATCTATAATTTCAGATTGCAAAATTAATAAACAAATAAATACATAAGAGCAGTATCAAATTCGATTCGCTCAGGCGAATATAAAATTGAAACCACACGAAACTAAGTTAAACAAAAAAAACACAAAATGTGTATTTAAATACATAAATAAACCAACTGCCGTGTCGAGACTAAAGTGTGCCGTGCTCCATTTTATTTTCTGTGGGTTTTTTTCCATTTGTTTTGTTCTTTTGTTTATGTCAAGAAATAACGAGCAGGTGTAAACTAGAATTTTTATATTTTCATAAAACTGAAATATTAACCACATGTAGGCACACTTATCGCGATATCAAATTTTCAATTTGGTTTTCTATAGCTCTTCCGTTTGGTTATATGAATCTTCTATTTGTTTGCAGGTGCATGCTTTTTAGGGCAGTATTTGTATATAGTTAAGTTATTGGCTTACCTTATCCGCCGCTTCATTGAAAATAGGCGCTAAAATATTACTAAACCGACACCACTCCGCATAAAAATTAAGGAAAACCAATTCGTTAGACGCTGGAAAATAATTAAGATACCAAAACGAGAACGAAAAAAAAAAGATCAAAACATTTTAAGCAATCGTTATTGAAATGCAGGCAATCATATTTCTAATTAAAGTGATATTATACGTATATATGATAGATATGACGGAACATGTTTTTGAAAAAGTCAACGTTGTGTTTTCTTTAACTCTTTTTGCAGCTGGGCATAGGGCATTTCAAATGGCACACACAGATCCATACTATACAATTGCCAACTTTACGATAAGATAATGGCATGAGAATGAGATGTCACACAACGACAGACAAGGGCCTGGTCCAACAGTAATTAGTCTTATCAGCAACTGTAAGCGTGAGTACCTACTATTAAAACTTTCTATTCTGGCTTAATGATTGCCATGATAATTGATAATAATGAGTTCTAATTTTTGGATAAGCTTCAATTTTGTGTCGATACACATAAATGTATTTCAATAAAATAATGCATCTCAGCACGAACTGTTCAAATAGTATATATATATATATATATATATATATATATATATATATATTTAACTGTATAATTGCATAGAATTGTATCATTAAGGATCATATGTGACTTGATTGGGATGTAAGTTTAGGTTGAATTGATATATCCCACGGCATTTGGGCATAATGCTCAGCGGATGATTATGACATCGAATATGACTAATTATAGTATTGAGTTTTGTATAGTTAGCGTGACAGGCAAACTGAAACAGCAAACCACGCTGGCAAAGTCTGTGAAATTTATCGAGCTTCAGATTCTCAATTTGTGACACGTCAAGCGACACACACACACGCAATAAGTCGTGCTTGTGTGTGTGTGTGTAAGTGCGTGTGCTTACATGTATGTATGAATGCGTGTAGGTGCACCAGCTGAGATATTGAGTAAATATGTATGTACATTTGTGGTCCATGCGGCGTTTTTTATGTTTATATTCTAAGAGCTGATAAAACGCTTGCTACTGTTTTCATTATTATTGGCTTACCTAATGTCATATCAATATTTTCACTGGTCATGGGCAGCGCACCAGACGCATCTGTTGGTTGGTAAAGGACATGAAGAACCTGGAATAAGCATAAAGTATACAAAATTATTTACACTCTGCTTAAGTTCAGCTATTGAAAATGTTGTTGCACTTGTCACATGTCCGATGGCCATTGACAAAAGCTTCAATATTTCCACGTCTTAGCCGGTCGAGTCACAGTCGCACTGATTGAGCGGGTGCGGGTAGAACACGTCGACTTACCGCAACAATGGCTAAGCACGAGCCCAGCAATGGCTTTGTTGATTCAGTCATGTTGGTGCTGTGGGCGGCAGGCTTGGCCAATATTTATAAACTACTGAAAACTAAATTAATTAATTTTTATTCACTTTTACATTAGATGGAATGAAAACGCAGTCACGACGTATCTACATATATAATTATTATAACAACTTCGTTGATTGTCATACAGTGTTGGACAATCTGAGAATCTGCAAGTACCCATATTACAGTGTATTCAGTTTGGGTAACGATTATAAGCCATAGTCGTTCCCTAAGCACACGTTACGATTTTTGATGTAAGTGCGAATCCATTATTTGAAAATTTATTGTTCTTATCTCCTGCAATTAAAAAAAAAAACTGAAAAAATAAACGATCAGATATGAAATAAATCAATACTTTTTAAAAAAATATTTAAATATGTATTAATAAATACGAATAGCAATATCGCTGTTCCACATTCGCCAATAAGTTTAATACTATAAAATTCTTCACAATTGTAAAAGCACTAATTGGTCGTTTTTTAAGAATTTGCGAAGAGACCAATTTGAAGTGTTATGAAATCGATAGCGATAAATTATATTCGATTTTTGTAAGTGACAAAAGTAGTCGGTTTATTAACGATTACTTACTTGTATGTATGTGCATATTGTGCGTCTACATATGTATAAGCAACAATATCTGCAAATCTTTGTTTATAATAGCTGACGTTTATGGAGTTTATGGTGCTAAATACCGAAGAAAACAGCAAAACGCGTTTTTTAATTTCATTGCAAGTTGCAGTAAACTAACTACACTTGTTATCTAAAGGTGTTCATCATAGTTATGTATGTATGGTTGTATGTTTGTTTTGGTGTTTTTGTTTTAAAAATGTTGAAGAATCACATATGTATGTGTATACGCATATAAAGACAAGTGTATATGTAAATGTGTTTAATTACTTTGTTTATAAAACATATTTCGTTATTTTATTTGACATTCGTCCAATAATAAGGACATGGCCTAAAAACCAAAATAACTTTTTTGTTGTTTTATTTTTTTTTTTTGTTAAAGTTTATCCATATTAACGTAAGTGTAAGTGCATAATAGAACGCTTCTTTTTCATACGCAATTGTATTGAAATGTACATGTGTATGCATGTATATTGTACGTACGTACATACATATAGACTTATTATCTACACTGGCAACCACCACACACAAAATATATTTGTTCATATCTAGTATAACTGCTAATAAGGTGTTTGGATGTTTGAAACATTTTGCATTTAATTGCGCTGCCTTGAGTTCTCGTGTTGATATATACGTACGTACATATGTATGTGTGTACATACGCATATGTATGCATGTGTGTTAATGTGCATGTGTGTGTATGCGACGTCCTGTTTAACTGGTGCCATTAACGCATAAACAATTTTTAAAAATATCTACAATACTTTTCCACTGCTGTGCTGTGACAATTAATAGTAACCCTGAGAGGATCTCAGGTGTTCGAACCCGCTAGCGTTGTAGATGCATATGTATGTATTTGTCGTATAAGCAAAATCTATATGTCTATATATGTATGTATATGTATGCGTGTGCTAGTGTATGTGCACTAATTGAATCTTTTATTGCAGTCGCAACACATGATGTCAGATGGATCGCCGCCCCCATCGATTTGTTTTATACGAGCCGCGGAATCTTATCCAAAATCACAAATGGAAAAGGAAGATTCACAGCTTTCTGTGCCCTTTCAAGAACGTAAGTGCCATTGGATTATTTGCAAATGACTGAATAAATAAATAATTATCTTAATATTTAATACACTTTCGTGCACAGTTGCCGGCGAGTCAACTAAATACTTGGGACGAACCGACGATGGCATTCTAGCTTTGTCCAATTATCGCATATTTCTGTCAAAGAAATCGACTGCATTCGAGACGTATGTGCCGCTGGGCCTGATTGAGTCGGTGCAAGTGCGTGATCTTTTCCAGTTGATTGTCAATTGCAAGGATGCCAGCACTGTGAGGTGTTCGTTTCAATCTGCAGAGCAATGCTTGGAATGGCAGCGTCGCATTCAGTTGTTAATCGGTGTGCCCGAAACACTGGAGACGCTCTTCGCATTCCCATTCTACTCATGGACCTGCGACATAATTGGCAACAAAGAGCGCTCTGCACTAATAAACGGTATTGGCCTTAAGTCGGCGACAGCAGCACCTGAGAATTCAATATCAATACAAGCCCAGACGGCTAGCGAACATCTGCATCGCTTGCAGCGAGCGATTCGTTATGAGAGCGACTTTAAAAATGAGGTTATCCGTCTTGGTTTCGACTTGAAGGGGTCCTGGCGGATCTCAACGGCAAACACTGACTTTAAACTGTGCCCTTCGTATCCACAAAAATTACTTGTTCCGTGCTGCATTACTGATGAAATGCTTCACAACATTGCCAATTTCCGGGGATCGCGCCGACTGCCGGCTGTTGTTTGGCGCCATCAAAAGTCTGGCGCCATTCTGGCACGCTGCAGTCAGCCAGAGGTCGGTTGGCTGGGCTGGAGAAATTACAAGGATGAGCAGTTGCTGAAAGCGCTAGCCGACGCCTGTGCATTTGACAGAGGTGAGCATGCGAGGCGACAGGCAAAAGATACAAATGGCGAGGCAGGCTCCTCAGGAAAGAGCTCTCCATCGCTGGAGGATTCTTCGCACGAGGAACTTGCACTAGACGAAATCAGGGTATGCCGAATTGTTAATTAATTGTTTTTTTTACATTTGAGCGATATAGGTTTTGAATAAGAATAAACCTAATAGATTTTATAGGGCATATATTATTTTAAGTGCAGAATGTTTGGCCACGATGCAAGCGACAACCGAGGCATTCATATATATATATATATGTATGCATATATATATTAAAGCTCTACTTGTAATCGAATCTTCAATTGATTAACATAAAATACAAAAGAAGCACGCATATACAACAGCTTTCAATTTTATTTCAAGAAAATTCTCATCGTGGATGCCCGCAGCTATACGTCAGCGGTCACAAATCGAGCACGCGGCGGCGGCTGTGAGTGTATCGAATATTATCCATGCGCCGAAATAGAATTTATGAACTTGGGAAATATCCATGCAATACGAAAGAGTTTTCATGCTGTTCGACAGCTATGTGCCTCTTCGCCCGACGATCCAAAGTAAGTAATTGATACAAACAGACTACACGAACTGCATATAATGTATATATACAATTTCTAATTATCAGTTGGCTTGGACAATTGGAAAAAACGATGTGGATGCAACATTTATCGGGCTTATTGGGAGCCACAATGACAGTCGTGCATACGATTGAGAAAAATGGTCGTCCGGTGCTAGTACATTGCTCCGACGGCTGGGATCGTACACCACAAATTGTGGCAACAGCGCAAATTTGTCTGGATCCCTTTTACAGAACCGTTGAGGTATGGTTATCCAATCCAATTGAAAGATAACAGACATAACTTTTCGATTCTGTAGGGCTTTCGTGTGTTAGTCGAACGCGAGTGGCTCAATTTCGGCCACAAGTTTGCTGATCGCTCTGGAAACGGCCCTAATTCGGATGAGGTGAATGAACGTTGTCCAGTATTTCTGCAATGGCTTGACCTGGTGCACCAAATACACCATCAGTACCCGTGCAGTTTTGAGTTCAGCATAGGCTACTTGGTGAGCCGATTTGATGCAGTTTATTAAATTAAGTTTAAAAAAAAAAACATTTGAATCTTTTAGATAAAACTCGCCCAGCACTCACTGTCATGTCTGTTTGGCACGTTCCTATGCAATTCGCTTAAAGAGCGAATTGAAAATTCAGTTTTTGATCGAACATTCTCTGTATGGCCATTTTTAGCGGAAACGATGTATAGAAATCCACTCTATAAGCACGAGACTGAAAAGGTATTAACAAATGCGTACAATCACCATATGTATGATAGCAATATGTATATTTTCGTTCGATTTTCAACCAATTTCAGGTACTTTGGCCCGCGCACAGTGTGCGATTTTTAGATTTTTGGTCCGATGTGTATCTTGGTAGTTTAGGAAACAAAAATGGTACCGATCTTCCTTTACAGAGCAATGAACGACAAAGTGTTCACAGCGTTAACGGTAAGCGACGCAAACGAAATTTTATTTTATTTTCTCATTGCTTTATAATATCCAATTTAGGGAAAACCCGATCGACCGAAAATATAGCAACAAACGAGCTGTCTCAGAGCACAATGTCGAGAAGATCAAGTGATCCCAATTTGACAGTGGATTCAATGTAAGTTGCGACAAGCTTATCCATCGAGCTGTAGTTTAACTATTAATAAATCAATATTTATAGCGTAACGGATGGCTTAAATTTGAATGTGAACAGCAACTCCATGTTTGACATTCGGTTGGAGGAAAAGGAATGTATAATTGATAAAAAACATGATATCAAACATGATTCCGACTCAGAGGATAAGTGCGACAGTCCAAAACAGGAGGAGCATGCACAAAATGGGTCCACAAATTTGTTAACTGAATTAAAGAATGAACAAAGTACTTCTTCAGTTCAATGTGATATATTAAATGCGGGCTCCCCATCCATAAATGGCAAGATCACCATTCAGCGTATGGATTCCGAGCCCATTGATTTTGCAATACATACCCCTTGTGATTCGCCAAATGGTTAGTTAATCACTTAGTTAAGTTAGCTGAATCTCATTGTAAAATTGAATTCTTCATATTTAGATCATGCTCCATCCATTTGTGAAAGCTTTAGTGATAATAGCCGGACTCTGCGTCAGGGCCAAGGCCAAATTGATACTAGTACGGATACCTTAATTCCTATAGAATCTACACAACAAGAGACAAACGGGATGTTAAAAGATGATGCAGTTAAAGACAGCGACGTGCCTTCAGAACAAGATGCCGATGTCATACCTCAAGAAAAAAAGACCGAAGCAACCTCTGTTGCCCATACCAATAAAATTAGTCAAAGTTATAACAATTTGCCCCGAGTTCATATAAAGCCCAACAATCTGCGATATTTTCAACAAAACGCCACTTCAAATATGGATAAAAGCGATGCTTTTGATCATCCCTTGAATCTTCATATGCCTCAAGAGAATACAACCAACGACGATAGCTGCAACGAAACAACTGTAGTAAATGCAACTAAAGAGGAACTTTTCAATGGAATTGTGTCGTTAGCCGAAGGCAGCAACAATGGCGATTCCCTGCCCTTATCACCTGAACATCAAAGATGTAACTCTCAAACGCATAGCACGTTTGCGAACTTTGATGAGTCCATGGCTGGTAATGCGATGCGAAGAAACACGCTCTGGTCGAACCTTAATCGAGATCAATCACATTCAAAATATACAGAAAATTCCAGGTATTCCAGACTAACATGACTTTAACTAACTAAACTTTAGCTATATAATGCAAATTCTTGGTTTTTGTAGTGGACTTAATTTTCCGGCAAGTGGACTTATATCATTGCCTCCGACTCCTCAGGGATCACAGGAGCGAACACAATTCACTATATCCTGTCCCGATGGCTTGGCACATGGCTTAAGTGAACAAAATATTCGACTACATCAAATTGTTCAAGAACACAAGGTTATTAACTTGCATTATTTGCACGTAAACAGATTTATAATAACAATGAACTATCTTCGCATTTAGCTACGTGAGGAAGTACTCTTGCGCGAAATCCACGGCATGCGTTTGGCGTTGTTACAGAAAGGTTGTCCAAGCTGCAACAGCGTCGTATCAACAAATGTGGAGCATGTAATTATGTCTATATTTTTTTACATTTAAATTGCACAAACATACGCATTTACCAAACAAATTTTCATACATACAAAGTTATTATTAAGTATGTATGCAAATTTGTAAATACATATAGTATAAACAGATAAAAGAAAAAACACATAAGATGAAATGAATATATCCAGCCATATTTAACCACCAACCTGTTCACTGTTTCGGGTGCTAACCAACCAATTTTCAAAATCCTGACATAACTGGCTGGATAATTTCGAATATAATATTCTTAAATATAGGTTAAATATAAATTTTAACCAGGGCATGCGCCTTCATCCAGCGATAGTTGGTCTAATTATTTACATTTCTTCAGGAAAACGGATCTGATATTGTTGAAAATGCATCGACGTGTTCTTGGGAAGCCGTAGAAGAACGTAGTGGTCCATCGTCATATGCCACATCCTCAATTCAAGAGAAAAAGGCTTCAAGTATTCTCTGGGTACCAGATCATGCCGTTTCGCGTTGCTCTAATTGTCAAATTGAATTCTGGCTTGGACGAAGAAAACATCATTGTCGGTGCGCATTTCAACATATTCTTTTTATTTAGTTTTACCTGTATCTGTTGTGTCTATAACATACCTTAGTTACCTAGCCACACATACTTACAATATACGGGCCAATAGTCATTTCGCGACAATCAATCTGGCACAAGTTCCTGGCTAAATCATAATGAAATATTGCATCATGTTTGAATCCTATATAATTATGTTATATCATAAGCAAGCGTTTCTAAGTATATAAATCAAGTTGACGGCGAGTTTAATAATCTGAAGCAAGTTTTAAGGACAACGGAAGTTAATTGAAAATAATGAACTAATGTCAGATTGGCTGTGATAAATATCTTACTCATTTTGAAAAACAAATTCTGATTAACATATTGTAATAATCTCTAAATATGGTTGTGTTCAATTTATGGTCTTATGATTGTTTTTTTTTTTTTTTTAATTATCAATTGTGTTTATTGTTTAATCAATTCCAATTAATATATATTCCTTTACATTCTTGTATTGCAGATCATGTGGAGAAATTTTCTGTGCTGACTGCTCGGAGTTCTGGGCACCTTTACCGTATGAAAAGCTTTTTAATCCAGTAAGACTATGTGGTTCTTGTTATATAACCGTTACAACTCAAGTCCACGAATGTGGCGTTCCTTCAAACCCAATTTTAAATGATGTGGCTAAGCCTTCTGCAAGCTCTCAAGAGTAGTTTTCCATTAGCTTTAGGGTTCTGACGTTGAAACAATATGTACATATAATATACTCAAATATTTATTGCATATATATAAATGTTAACACTGTAATAGCGAAAAAATATTTGTGCGTACTTGTAGAAACACTTGAAATTATACAAATTTTGTTAGACATATATATATAAATATATATACAATCTGAACACAATTGTAAATTAAATTACCAAACTCAAAAAATAAAAACAAAAACATTATTTGAGCGGAGCTATTTATTGCTCTTTAAATATCATCGCAATCAAGATGCTTGCCTGACAGAATTGCATAAAAGTGAGTGAGAGAGAGAGAGTACAATTAACGTAAGAGTGTGTGAAACAGAAAGAGAGAGAGAGAGAGAGAGAATGAAGGTACATCAGTCAATCGGTCAATCAGTCATGTCAAGCAATTTTATATATATATGCCTTTCATACTGCCTGTTACACACATTTTAAATGAGTGTACAAATACAATATTTTCGTAACGAACAACATAACTAGCAAAGGTTTTGACCAACAGGTCAAATTAAAAATGTATCCAACATGCTTTTATTAAATTAACATTCAGTTTATGTACATCGTTATTTGATAAATACTGCAATTAAGTGAAATATTACACAGTAAAACAACAGTAAATAAGATGAGCTTTGACCTGAAATTCGTTGCAGTTTCGAGCATTTCCGATACGAGTCAACAACTACTCGACCTTTGCTTCCACATGATGATGTGGCAGCTTTGGTGGCACTTTATATGGTCGTATAAACTTAATATTCGTTTTCAGCGTATTGGGCAGCATAGAACTGGGCAGCAGGCAGCGCAGGAACATATATGTTAAATAGCCGGTGATCCCCCAGATTCGATGTTGATCCACAACAAAGACTGGTCCGCTGTAGCCAGTACGAAATTGAGTATGACGGGCGGCGGACGGCGACAGCAGCGAGTTAAGCGGTATACTGAAGGCCTCCTCCACTTCGTCCCAGTTAAGTTTAAGCTGGGAGACATGGAAGTCGGGCACTACGCCCACAACTGGGACAATGGTGGCGGTGCGTGGCAGATCGATCGGATTGGCCTCGCCCCAAATTTGAATGCGCTCTCGCGGCAAACCAATTTCTTCCTCTGTTTCTCGCAGCGCGCAATCCACAAAGCTGGTGTCACCTTCGTCTCGTTTGCCGCCTGGAAACGATATCTGTAAGCTGTGCCTACGCAGGTGCCGGGAGCGGCGGGTGTATAGCAGCGAAATCTCATTGCTGCAAGACGAATGTCTTATGATTCTCACCACATAAGTCTGACTGACCTATACTTACGTGTCGCGCTCCAGGCACAATGCTATCAGTACGGAGGCCGAGTTCTTTTCGTGCCTGTTAGGAGTAAGTGACTTGGGACGCGGGAAGGCCGGCAACTTACGGAGCTTTTCCATACAGCGCTCGCGCTGCTCCTTCGCCAACAGTATGGGAAAATCGGCCGCTGATAGAACTTTTGTGCTGGCTGCTGTCGCATTGTGGCTCTTGCTCCTTACTTGTCTGCACACTAGCTGATGCAGCTGCCGTGTCCTTGTCAGAGAGCATATTTCGGTGAGAATCATGAAATATATTGTTTAAAACTCTATTGAGCAAAGAAGGGTGATGTAAACAAAACGAAACACAACTGACCTTTGGATAGCCAGCTGCACGCTCAGCTGTTTTTGTTATTGTCTAGCGATGCGCACATATGTTTCTATAGACTTATCGAATTTCGACAAATGCCATAAAACCATTATTAATATTATTAATATTCATTTCGCTTTATTGTAAATAGCCAACATCAGCTGATGCTATTCAATTCAAACTGTAAACAGAAGTGCTTAGTTATCGGTATGTTCTTAATTTGTAGATACAGTATTTTTTGTATCGATACTATCGATTACCCTGCTACCAAGAGCCGATTAATTTGCAAGTGTTTGTTGGATTTTTGTAACGTTTTTTTATTTAAAACATTTTATTAAAACTTGTTCGCATTGGGGCTGCTACTCAGTTGGTCAGCTAGCTGCACAAAAAATATATGTACTATTTTGCATTTGTTCAATGTTAACCGCTAAATGTATTTTTTCTTTTTGACGTTAATTGTTTTTAGCTTTTGTTTCTATTCTTGTTGTTGCTATTAGATTTTTGTTTATTTTGTTATTATTATTATTTTTTTTCGGTGCATAACGCAAAAACTAGAATAAATGTTTGGTTGCGGTTGCGGTTGCTTAGGTACTGCATTCAACTACGCTTATTTATGTATGTACTTATTAAACATTACTTTCGTTATTTATAGCAGCTTTCTTTGCTGCCGCGGCGACGCGAGTGCGGGAGTATTTGCTAATGGACGTGGGGGAGGCGACGGCAGCAGCTGCATCCACATCGGCACCGGCAATCCGTATATTATTGCCAACGGGATACACGCAGCAGCCCCGCCGCTGCTTGCGTGTCGACGGCGAGCCGTGGCCGCTTCTATCACCGATTTGTACTAAAATGGGAAGATCTTCGCTGCGCGCGAATACGAACTCCTCGGAGGATAGGCGTTTGCGCACACGCCCACCGACCACATCTGGCCGCTTGCTGTCGCCGTTGCTCATGGGCGAGGGCGATGCCGGCGCCACAATGGCCGGCGTTTCCGGCTGGCCACCGCCGCCGTACACGGGAAAATGTGACTCAAGGACACCGGGACGTATGAGTATCTCGTTGTGCGCATGCCCGCCATTGACCTTCAACTGGAGCTGTCGGTTCGGCGTCGCTAACTGTTCCAGCGATGATTGCGAGTTGGCGCTGTAGAAGCTGCTGTTGGTATCTGTCGAGCCGACAGCGGCAGTCGCCGTCGCCATCGCCGTCGCCGTCGCCTCCACTGAGGCGCACTGCTGATGATCGTGCTCGGAGCGCGTGCAGCAATCGCGTCCATCGCGCCGGCACGGACAGTGTGGGCACTGGCGCAGGCAGTGCTCCTCGGCCAGGATGTTGCTGTCGCTGAACGTCAGCTTCTTGGCCGGCGGCGAGCGTGTCTCATCCAGTTGATCGGCTGACTTGGAGCTGACACCGCACGCCACAGTCGCCGGCAGCTGCAGTCGGTGCAGGCTGTGCGCCGACTCGAAGCTGTCATCGCTGGAGTTGGAGTCCAGGCCCTGGCTGTGCTTGTACTGCAGCTGGTGGCCGGCAGCTGGCTCGGGAAAGATGCGCGGAAATGTGATAAACACGCGTCCTAGACGCTTATACTGGTCCAGATTGCGGGTGTCCTCGGCGCAGCCAGACAGGTTCTCGCTGAACTTGGGCGCACGTCGCATCACCTTCGGCGTGTGCAACTGCGACTCGAATATGTCCTCCAGCGGCACCTTGGGCACCGCGCCTGGGCCCGCACCCGCCCCGACGCCCAGGTGCTGCAGATATCGCTCAATGCTGTTGGCCAGGCTGACGGGCACGCTGCTCCGGGACGATACGCTCGAGATCTCCGACAGTGTCTCCGGGCTGGCCAGCGGCGCCAGACCGTACCAGTCGTCGTGCAGCAGGTCCACACCCTGACCCGCCACCGAGGCGCGACGCAACGCTTGCGTCAAGGGCAGCGATCGCGGCTTCTTCTCAGAATGCTGACGTGCCAGCGGCAGAGGCGACGGCGGTGGCGTCGTTGCTGCCATGTCGAATGCGACCGCACGCAGGCGTGGCGCCTCGCCAGGTTCGGCATTCATCAGGACCGTCGTCGTCTCGCTGAGCATGGAGCAGGGGCTCCTGCGCATTGTCACCGTTGTGATGCTGTCGTCCAGGACGCTTGATATGTCGTACGGAGTTGTTGTGGAGCTTAGTTGGCTGCGGCCAAAGATGCTGCCAGCTATGGATGAGGCCTTGCTGCCGCCCGGCTGCACCGCTGCCCGCAGCTCCAGCTGGTGCTGCAGATTGGTGAAGGACGTCTCCAGGCAGAGCTTATGCTGTGCCGTTGGTGTCAGCATGATGCAGTTGCTCAAGTTTGTATAGGAACTGTCCGCCGCGCGCTTGCAATGTTGCATCTGTTCGGCATTCGTTGGCGCCAGCGCCAGCTCCAGCTGCTCCTGCTCCTGCTCCAAGGATGTGGTGGAGAATGCGTTCGAGGTCTGGCGCTGGGGCTTTCGTGGCCCACTCGTCGTTACAACCTGCCAGCGAATGGTAACGAGAGCAATGACAACGAGAAGGCAAATGTTACAAATCGTTCATTCATTTCAAGGCGTGTTTATTAATTTGTATGTATGTATGTATGTATATGCAGGTAGAGTACTACATATCTACATACACTATCACAGTTACATACACAGACGATAATTAACAGCTACATATGTATGTATGTTTGTATGTACAATAGGAAATGTTGTTGTGAAGCAAATGAGCGAGAGCGACAGCGAGAACGAGTGCGTGAGTGAGCGAGTGAGCGAGCGAGCAAGCGGGAGACTATGTCAAAGCTGAAGGCGGAGTTGCATTTAAACATTGTCTGTAGAGAGGGAGGGGAAGCTTTGGGTGACTGAAACCGTTTGGAAATTCTTTTGGTGCTATCTTGGATTGTTTACATGAATAAAGAATGCATTATAGGTATGTATGTCCGTTTAACGGTAAAGAATATCAGAATTTGTGTAAATGGATGGGAAAGGGGTTGGTGACTCTGGTGGCAATATGCATAACACATTTTCGAAGTTGTACATACAAGTATCGAGTACAATTACATTTAGACAGTTTTGGAGAGGCAATGAAACAAAAATTGTACAAAACTATAGGTTAGGTTGAGCGTAGGAGAAAGATATGTATATATATACATATAAAAATATAAATATATGTATATATATAAATATGTTTATAAAGAGACAGAAAGAGAATTAGAGATAGAGACTTGTATTGAATTTTAATTGTTTTTTTTTTTTTTTTTTTTTTGTTTTTGTTAACGAGAGCAAAATGGAAAGTTGTTTAAGTACATAGTCTTTTAAGTAGTAGGCAGCTGTACCTGGTATCGGTATTTTGTGTTGTCGAAGTTGTTGTTGTATTGGTTGTTGTTGTTGTTATTGTCGTGTTATCTTTACATTTACGAGTAGTACATGCCTTTACGGTACGATCTCTACATGACACGACCTGTACACATCATCATTCGTCATTTGAATATTTGAATCGAATGTCGGTTGGCATTTATCGTTAATCGTTAATCGTTATCGGATTGACCCGCATTATAGCACACGCACATACATATGGCATATGTGGCATAGTTGACGCAAAACAACAAACAAACAAGTAAACAAATAATATAATTAAATTCATTGTTAACAGCTTCAGCATTTCAGTATGTACTATGTCAAGACAGGATTTTTCAGCTAGAGCTCAAAAAGCCTCACACTCAGGTCCGCCTGGCAAACGGTCTTTGGCCAACTTTCCTACCCTACATAATACTCTGGCACACTCCCAGGCAATTCAAGTTCAAAGTAACTTTTTGGCCGGGTTGGTATTATTGCATAACTAGCAAAAGAAAATCGACTAATTAACTGTCGCATATTTGGCACACATTAGCGCTACGTAAGCTTTACAACAAACAAACATGCCCATGCAGCATTTTGAGTTCTATAACTGTATGCATGTATATGTATCTATGTATATGTATCTATGTATATGTATGTGTGTATGCGTGTTTGTATATGTGAGAAGTTGAGGAGCCACAAGATTGGAGTGTTACATATGTATGTATATTGGTTGTTGTATCGTGTTGTGCGTGTGTTCCAAATAAAACTTACCAAATAAAAGTCGCAAAAGTAAACCAACGAATAAGTACTTATAACTAAAATAAATGTAACAAATTTTCTGTTGCTGTTGACAGAGATCAAAACGGTATGAACAAAAGCTGGGCGCAACGAGTAAGCCTCAAAACTGACAACTCGCTGTTTTTGGATACACTTTCAGCGATTCGCTTCGTATAACAAATGTTTATTTTGTTGACTATACGAATAATATGAATTCGCTACATCAATACAATAATGCACATAACGTTTCACATCAAGATTTAGCAGTTAAAAGCCGAATATGTTTCTAACGAGTTGTTCGTACCCAGCTACTCGTTACTCGTTGCAATTGGAGTAAACCGTTTTAGCCGCTCGTTACCCGACACAATCATAATTTCAATGAAAAATGCGATTAAAAAAACTTTGTGTATACATATTTTTGTATGTGTATATAAATATATATTGAAAAAGAAACATAAAAAAAAATGAGGCAATAAACAGAAATGCAAATACAGTTTGTAACTTAATATACGGGTAGACAAGTAAATAATTACGAGTACTTAAGCAATAAATAAATAGGCAATTAAATAAGTTGTTGTGTGACTAACTAATGGCTAGATCGGCGTGAGAATATGCATATATAAAAATATATTTATATATGTATGTACATGTCTGTGTAGTTAAGTTATATTGGTCTTGGGCATGTCTTGGACGAATGCTATTTGGCAACAATATTGAATACATTAAATTAATTTAAAACATTGTCAAAATCATAAGCGCTTACTAAATCAAAGAGTTCAAAATTCGCTTCAGCATTGGTGGACACAAACAGCGAGTGTTTCAAGCATGTGGCGACGAGAGGTTTTTGTTTTTGTTTTTTTTTTTGCGATAGTGGGGCGTGGGCGTGGTCATGTTTTTTGTGGACTGTGTTGTGGTCAAGTTTATACTAACGCTCGGCGCCTTAACATTAGACTTATTAATATTGTATTGTATATGGGTAATGCCGTAGGCTAACTAAATCATTGTGCTCTATATTAAAATGCTAAAACTAGGGTTCTAGAACAAGACGACGAGAAATTGTACGAGCATCATCATCAATACATCCACCATTATTATCAATCATCATCATTATCAACGTGTCTATAGTTACTATTATTATTATTATTATTATTAATATTATTATTGATATTATTGATAATATTCTTATTAGATTGTTCGCTCAACTGGCTGTGGAACAACTATTCACCGATGTACGTTCGTCATCAACATCCGAAATTACCTTCTTGAGCGCGGCGAGAACCTTATCGGGCATATGATCCTGCAGCATGACAGGTGATATGAGCACCTCATCGAAATCGGTTGAATCGGCCCATATCGCCTGATAGACCGGCTCACGATTCTTAAGCACATTTCTGTAATACAAGTAAGGGCAATTTTTCGCTAAACAAATCAGTACAAATGTCGGTTAATGCTTAATTAGGTGTTCAATTTGTTACGCATACAACTAATGCATATAAATATTTGAAAAGGAAAGACTAGAAACGAATAATACGTATAAATCGGTTATAGCGGAACTCGAGGTATAAAAAGTAGTCTATGCACTGATTGAAATTATAATGCAAACTACAATTCAACAATTGACTAGGGCTAATTCGAAACAGAGACCAAAAGAGAAACAGAGAGACAGACAGAGAGAGAGAGAGAGAGAAAACAGAGAGGGGGCAGAGATAGGGAGAGAAAGAAATAGGAGGAGTTTTGGGTATTTCTTAAGGCTCAACATGCAGCTGCAATTATTTTTATAAAAAAAACACAAATCGTTTTAATGAAAAAAAATGTCTACTCGCTGGTAAAGTAACGAGAGCGTGTTCGTTGGGTGTAGGGAGGGGGTTTGGGATTGGTATAGAATGAGGGATAGAGGGGCGAAGGGGCCTCAACGAATAACATGCGTCGCCGCCTCATGCAATTGGCAAAAAATAAGAGCTTGAGAAATCATGTTCATACTATCTAAAGCTAATATACAAAAAAGAGTGTGAGCGAGATAGAGAGAAAGAGAGAGAGAAAGAGAGAGAGCGAGAGAGAGATTGAGAGCAAGTGTGAGAGAAAGAGAGGAAGAGACAAGACAAGAGCGCGTTGGTTTCGTTGATTTCGCTTCGTTTTTCTTTTCTTTTCTTTTCTTTTCTTTAGTTTCTTTTCTTGAAAATATTGTTTTTCATCTGTGCAGCGGGCCTACCTCCAACCACTGTCGTATTTTTGCCTGAAAATAATTTTAAATAATTATATTGACATACGAGTATTTGAATTGATTTGCGTATGTTGGGAACTGGGTGACAAAACAAAACGAAACACGAATCGCACCGCTTGACGCGGTTGGCGCACAGTGGGCAAACATAAGACAAACACATGACCAAAAACCAACCAAAAATAATCAAATAATTCAAAAATTTTTATATATTATATGGCAGCCATATCGATTCTGATTAAACTGGTTTTCTGCTACACTCGCAAGGGAATTTATATTCCTTTTAGCGGAATTCAATTTGATATGCAATTTCCAATAGAATCGCATTTAAATAGGCTCAAATAGTTTCTACGCACTTTTACTATACATCGTTTTATTATACTATAAAGAATCAGAACTAAAAGATATTTTCTCTATTCGGTATCAAGAAATTCTTTTTCACTGTCTCTAGAATCAAGATAAGATAAGATCAAGAAGTTCTTTCCCATTGATTGGGCATTGTCTAGAGTTTCCAATTACTTCAACATTTTTTTCTTGTAAGGCTAATTGGTATCAAGAAGTTCTTTTTCTTCTAAAGCCAAAAGGTATATTCTCTTTTTACTGTCATTACACTCTCTAAAGTTTCCAAATACTTTTTTTTGCATTTAAAGCTAAAAGGAATATTCTCTATTTGGTATCAAGAAGTTCTTTCTCATTGATCATCATTTTATGCTTCTAAAGCTTTGCTCTGATTTATAAATTTGCATATTTGACTGAAAAAAAAACGTTTCGGTTCCACTGTGCGAAGCATGCGTCTTCGCCTATTGACTCAGAAACCGGACAAATCTGACGTCATTTCAATCATGACTCAGACTGCAATCTATCGAGCTTACAGTTAGCTGATAATTCACACCTACACACATATATATACATATATACACACAAACAGACAGGCACACACACACACACACATACGCACACAGTTGTCAATTAGTGGACGATAGTGAAGCGGATCTCGCGTCAGATGTGAAAACATAATAAAACCAAAGTCTAATTCGGATTCGGATTCGGATTCAAAAATTCAAATTGGAAATTGGAAATTGCAATTAGAGATTTTGAGATAAAAAATTCCCGTTAAGAATAGAGAAGTTTACTCACTCATCTGGCTTGGGATGATGCCGCACAATGTGTATGATGCGGCCGGGCGGATATAAGGGCTGGTGCAGTGTTAAAGCTATGGAGCTGTCCGTGGGATGGGCGCTGGTCGAACGTGCCGTGCCGCGCTCCTGGAGATTGCACAGGGAATGAGTTGAGCAAGTTAATCATAATCGGATCGGACTCACCTCCTGGTACTGATTGATGTGCGTGTCCTGGCCGGACATGTTCACCACAGAGGTCGGCTCGGGACCGCAGCCACAGCAGATGACCGAGCATGAAATGGTCTTCCACTGTTTGAACAAAATAATAAAATAGCAGGATTAAACAAGTAAGAGGTTCTAGTCGGGAGCTCCCGACTAGGGGATACCCTGAACCCTCTTCTTCCAACACCAAATGCATATATGTATATATTCTATTTTCGAAGCTATATGTCAAGTTTGGTGACTCTAGCTCTTATTATTTACCAAAATTGCCCAAAAAATATGATATCGATATCGATTTTTATCGATTGCTTGGAAACGGAGTAAGTTATCGATTATCGGAAACAAACTTGATCTGCGCGAACTAGGAGCACCTACATCTAAAATTTCAAGTCTCTAGCTCTTATAGCTTCTGAGATCCTTGCGTTCATACATACGGACGGACAGACAGACGGACATGGCTAGATCGACTCGGCTATTGATGCTGATCAAGAATGTATATACTTTATGGGGTCGGAGATGCTTCCTTCTGCCAGTTACATACATTTGGCTTTCGCACAAATACAATATACCCTTATACCCATTTTTAATGGGTTCAGGGTATAATAACCCTATAGATATGGCAGCTTTATTTCCGGTCGATTATTCCCATATATTATATAGTATTCCGGTACGATAGGGTTCGGCATATATGTGCGGAGAATAGTAAAGCTTGAAATTGCTGAAGTTAATTCATTGCAATTGCTTGAAAACCAAGAGGGTGATCCATATGAAAACTCATTTTTGACCCATTCTTCAGATAGAGTTATGTAATATAGTGTCCCAATATTGACAAGTCTTAGCTCATATGTAGATAGCATGATAAAACTTGTGAGCACCAAGTTCGATGAAGATATGTTGAAAATGGGGAAAGTGTGAACTTAATTTTCGTCCGATCGTTCCTATGCTAGCTATATAATTCGACTGACTTTGACATTGTGTTGCCTGCAACTGAAACTGCCTTTAATTTAAAGCCAAGTCACATATGGCCATATCGAGAACAGATATCTAGCCTATCGGAACAGATATATATAGCTTCTATTGGGGCTTGGGTCGAGTCCTACCTTGGGATCCACGCTGCGCTGTATGGCATTGATGAGATCGGCACGCAGCGCCTCCATCTGATTGAGGCCGATGCGCGGCACCACATCCTTGCCAAGCACCACGGACGTTATAAAGGACTTGGAGTACTCGACAGCGGGCATGCTGAGCAGTCCGCCGGGCGGCGAATAGCTGAAGCACTGCAGCGTCGGATGCTCCGGCTTGAGCAGTATGGCCAATATGGCCGCCGTGCCGGCGCCGAGGGAGTGACCCACCAGCACCAGGTCGAAGGTGTGGGTCAAGCGGTCCGCGTTGCGCTGCAGGGCGCGCTCAATGAGATTCTCCTGCTGCAGCTTGTTGCGTATGTAGATGGCCGCCTGGACCATGCCCTTGTGGCCAAGCCAATCGTCGCGCGGCGGCTGCAGCGGCAGCACCTCGCCCTCCGCATTCAGGTCGGTCAGTATGTCCTTCATGCTCAGCGTGCCGCGTATGCTGATCACGATCTTCTTCTGCGTATAGTCGACGGCCACAAAGAAGGGCGTCTCGCCCACATCCACATGGTATGTGGCATACACAATATCGATGTCGCCCAGCTGCAGTGTCTTCTTCAGAGCCGCATAATTGCAGTAGCAGCAATTGTCCTGGATCACCTGACTGTCGTCTCCGCTGCCGCAACAGCAGCCGAAACATCTGTGAATGATACAAGCAAACGCCACATGAATGTCGCCCTGTCTTCAGGTCTTGTATTTATTCAATGTACTCTCAGTTCCTTTAAAGAATACCCAAAATGAGAAAATGAGAATCGCATAGAAAGGCGAAAGTATGGAGTAGGGGAAAAGCAAGTGACATTGTGCCACTTAGCGAGCGAAAGAGACTGATTGTGAGTGAGGGAGGCAGACAGAGAGAGAGAGAGACAGGCGAAGGTGAGAGTTACGCAAAAAGAAAAGGAAAAAGAGAGAGAGAGAAAAGGTTGGATATTGTGATAAGAGGAGAGTGAAAGAAAGTCGTTCGTCGGCAAAGAGAATAAAAATGCGACCGTAAGAGATTTACCGAGGCAAAAAGAGTAAGAAAGAAAAGTGAGAGCATAGATAAGTATTATAAAAAAAAAAACTACGCTTTGATATTTCCAGATACAATTTAAGGCTTTTAAAATCGCATAGAAAGGCAAAAAGTGTTGTACTTTTTCAAAGTTTTCGATAAAGTGCAAATATACTCTATAGCCTCAGAGATGTCTTTAACTGTTTTATTGAAAACAACTCATGCTGTTGTCAAACTGATAAACATTATTGTTCGACTGGTGCTCGAACGAAATAAACGATGGAAACAATTGGCGTTTCCCTATGGCAATTGGATTTAATGAATACTCACTTGAGCTCGGGCACCAGATGCCACATTTTGCTTCGATTGATGATGACGTACATGGGCCAGCCGTAGGCGCCCTGGGCAAAGTACATATAGTGTATGACGGTCTGAAAGAAGTCATAGTTTTTGGCATCGTTGAGTGCTAGGAACTGTGTGTGCTCCGTGATTGGCACACCGCTGAGGAACTCATATGTCCCATTTTTGCGCTGTCTGACAATGGCCTCACGCTCGAGGCGCTGGAATTTGCGCAACAGGACCAAACCGGCGACCACATCCGATGGCACCACATCCAATTCGCGGAAAAAATCGCTCAACAGTCTCGCAATATCCGTAAACGAATTGCGATTTCGCTCCGACGAGCCCATGCAGCAGAACAGCAGACGGCATCGATGATCCCAGCTGTCCTGATAGGCGCGCATCACCTTGCTAAAGGAACACGGATTATATGTATATATATGTTGATAAAAAAAAGTAGTATACGAGTAGTATAGATCATATATCGACTTACCGTTGCCGCCAGTTGCGATTCATGCTGTTGCTGCGCTTGTAGTTGAAGCGCGATTCAGTCTCACGCATGGAGCGCTGGTACTTCTTCATCTTGACCCAGGAGCGGCCGGCTGCATCGAACGTGCACCAGATGGTTATCAGCGTGATGAACACCAGCGTCCAGTTGCATATGATGATGGCTGCCAAAGCATTGGGGCAATACATCAGACTTTCATTCAATCAACAATGTTTTTCGTTGCTTGACGCGTTAAAATTCGCAACCGGTTTTGGACTTAAACTCACCAATAAAGATCTTTTTGGCCTCATCGATGGGCGCTTCCATGTAGTAATTGGACAGCCAAATCGAGCCCAATATCAGCCATGAAATATCAAATAATATCACCACTAAGCGCAACAGATTGGCACTGATTAATATCGATTCTAGATGCGGGAATAGTTGATGTCCGGTACTTACAGCTCTTGAGATATATCCAGATATTGATCGATGTACGCGCCTCAGAGTCCAAAATGCTGCCGCGCATCGAGATCACACAAATGCCTATTTCTACGCATATTGAAACTGCAAAGTGGGTAAGTTCCACAGATTAGCTAACTGATTCGGTATGCCAGTCTTTGGCAGTGTCATACTCACAAAATAGTATTAACAAGTAGCTTATTAGATGATAGAACAATAGTTTAACACTTAAAACACTTGTGTTATATTCAAATAAAACTAACGAGACGGCCACAAGTACAAAACTGAAAGATAAAAATCGCAAATTTGACTAATTAGCACCACACAGCAGAGCAGCCGTATTCGAACTATTCCGGATTACCTTATAAAGTGTATCGCCAAGAGAAATGCACCTGGTACTACCAGATCATCCGAGCCAACAGACCAGCGGCGTCTGAAGACCACAAGTCCAGGCATCTGCAAGGCAAGAGTTTAGTTTATTCATGAACTCGTTCAAAATAAAGCTCTTTAAAAAAAAAAGAAAAATAATCAATTTGACCTTGACCCAATTCGCTTAATGGAAAAAACAGCAAATCAACTTTCACTTTGAGAAGTTAAATTGACATTCAAATTTTTGTAAATCACAGAGGCGGAAACAAATTATAACATTTTTCATAATAGGTAGCCGCAATTTCAGAGCGCATCATTTTAATGTGGTAATCAACATTCGGATGGACAATTCTCGGAACGAAACATTAATCAGAATATTTCTTTCATTAGTCCAATTGGTTAACGGTAATTGCAATGTTCAGGCAGTCGGATAGATATTTGATCGAAACCGTTCAACTGAAGTAATTGCATTAATTTCTACCTCTAATTGCATAACGATGTGATTCATGACATGTGTACCAAGGCCTTTAGTTGGTCAACAAATCATTTCGACTCTCTGCCGGCCAGATTGTAGTCCCAGTAAGGTTTAATCCTTAAATCTCTACCATTCGCATGTGGCTGTCGTGTCTGACGCCTGCCCCTGTCTGTCACAGTCCCAGTTCAACGCTGGAAAGCCCTGTATATGCAGCTATGCAGCTTTGCATTCGTTGACAGGAACACCTCGACCCAGACCCGACTCGCAACAGCCGTTTGGACAGCTTAAGGTTGCAGCTGTCGCATACAGCAAAACAAGTTGGAGTGCTGGCAATGAAATACCCTGCACAGTATGAGTATGAGTATGAGTATGAGTATGAGTATGAGTATGAGTATGAGTATGAGTATGAGTATGAGTATGAGTATGAGTATGAGTATGAGTATGAGTATGAGTATGAGTATGAGTATGAGTATGAGTATGAGTATGAGTATGCGTATGAGTATGAGTATGAGTATGAGTATGAGTATGAGTATGAGTATGAGTATGAGTATGAGTATGAGTATGAGTATGAGTATGAGTATGAGTATGAGTATGAGTATGAGTATGAGTATGAGTATGAGTATGAGTATGAGTATGAGTATGAGTATGAGTATGAGTATGAGTATGAGTATGAGTATGAGTATGAGTATGAGTATGAGTATGAGTATGAGTATGAGTATGAGTATGAGTATGAGTATGAGTATGAGTATGAGTATGAGTATGAGTATGAGTATGAGTATGAGTATGAGTATGAGTATGAGTATGAGTATGAGTAGGAGTATAAGTATGAGGTTGAGAATGAGTATGAGTATGAGTATGAGTATGAGGTTGAGCATGAGTATGAGTATGAGTATGACAAGTAGTCAAAGTGGGAGGAAACACATTACTTGAGGCTATAAAAATCGCAGAGGAAGGCTTTATTCGCTAAATTACTGATAAGTGACTCATTTGCGCCGTATTCTCAATGTTTCTTGATTCATGCTTTTGCACAACTCCATTATACGCCCTCTATGCACATTATACGGCTACAGGGTATACAAAAAAATGCAAAACACACTTGTAAACATAATCGTCCAAAGCGGCTTGTGGAATGCAGGGAAATTGTGCAACAATGCATAAGAAGTCACTTGCATTCTAACAGTCCAAGCATAGGCGATGATATCGTTTAGGTTGATAACATAACCATCTTCGTAAACGTACATCCAACCTACGTACACGGAGAAGGCATACTTTAAATAGTTAGCATTAGGTACACGTAAGACTATGCTGAAAATGCAGTTGTTAAATGAACGAAATAGTTGACATGTACATTTATCATATACATTTGTGAAGTGAACAGAATACACACTTTGTATTGTATTGTATAAATAAAAGTGTAGTCATGTGTGATAAGTACTGCAAGCATGACTAAATCACTAAAATATTAATAGATCGAAAAGCGGACCTTGAACGCTGATTGTTTTTAATATGTCAAAACACATGTAATATGTGTAAAATACTAGACTAGAAACTAACAAAAAAATACAAAAAATAACAAAATAACTATTCGTATCAGATGGCCTATAATAAATTCATGACTTTACATGCATAGCTATATGTATATATACCATATATAGTATAAGTCCGACGGCGTACGAATTTTAAATGTGTTATTAAATAATAATTTGCGCGTACGTTTCTAAACATTTCAAATGATGAATGGTGAATCCGGGTTCAAGTCCCAGGTGAGTTTATTGATTTAGTGCTGTCTTAGCCAAGCGGCTGCAGTTGCCATGCATATCCTAGACTGTTAATAATACCTAGTTGTATTTGCAGATGCAGGCAAAAATCTGAGCCGGACCTTCAAGTGCTTCCGAAATTATTTCAGAGTAATTCCAAATCCGACAAACATGTGAGTTTTAGCATGCTTTTAAGTTACTGTACCTTATAGCCAGGTCTTATGTTCTATCCAGTTGCTTGTCAACTAACATGAACTTTGCCAGGAGGATAAGAAAACTGTTGGTTGGCACATTGATATATACCTTTCATATACATGTATTTTATATAATTTACTGACTTTTTTATACTGAAACTACAGAAATTCAACTATAGCGAATTGGCATGACAATGTTTTGATATATAAAGAGGCTGGTAAGTTTGACATGAGCTTTAACTTATATATATACTTCGCTCTATTTCCTTTGCTTTCACTTAGGCTAGAACATGTTGTGGATATGTCTAGCTACACTTTAATATTATAGATTTATACTTGATTTATGCACATTTGGCAATCGAAAGTTTTATTCATATCATATCGGTCGATACTTTTATGAGCGGCAATCGCTGGCGACGATTTATATGGCTATCACTGGAATTATTAATAATCGCCTTGATAACATTTCCAATTAAAATGAAGCCGGGTAATTTGGCCAACTTATAGCCCGCTTATCTAAACTAAAGCGAACTTTTACCTTTCCAATAAACTGGCAACTAGATTTTAGTCGAACTGGAGCAGCTGGTGCCCGTTGTCTGTTGTCTGGCGTCTGGCATTGCCCCCGATAAATGGGGCTTCTGCCAACGGCCCTGTCTGGCCCCTTGTCTGCTGTCGGATTGTAGGATCCACTGAGCCATGACCACAGCCATTAGCGGCACAGACCAGCCCAGCCCAGACCAGCCCAATAGGCCTGGAAAGCGTTCGCAATTTGGATTTAAGCGCCGCAATTTATGGCAATTACACAGACCGGATATATATATAAATATATATATATATATATATGTGTGTGTGTGTGTGTATTTGCACATACCCTTGTAGGGCACATAATGAATTATTCAGTGAGAAGCACACTGCGAATGCATATTAATAATTCCAGTCACGGTCAATGATTAAATAGAGCAATTTCATGGCCCTAACATCATAACAATTGCATAGCGTATATCACATTGATCAATGTTCGACTACATTAGCTTGTGTCCATGCAGTGACCGATTAGTTGATTAGATAAGTTTCTCTGCAATGCAATTCGACTGCTTAACTTATCTGCAACGCACAAGCTCGACCCTATTTTCATTGCACGGAAGCCCACGAACGGGCCTGTGCCTATCATCAACCCAATGAGCCATCATCAACAAATAACTAGATGAGTTGCACAAAAGAACGGCTATTGAATACCCTTCTATATATACTAGACCGATTTGATAGGGGCTTGCAAATATGTTGGGCGCAAAGTGAAGCTGTGATTTGGCAAGGACTTCTTTAAAAACCAGAAAAGTTTTCCATACAAAACTGATTTTTCCTATATATATGTATTGTATATAATCATTTTCCACCGATTCTTCCTATAGTGCTGTATATATAGTATTCCAATATTGATTAGACTTGGCATTATTAAACGCGCAAATGCCAAAATACAAAAGTTGTTCACAGAAGAACTTCAATTTTGACCGATCGCTCCTGCGTCATCTACATATATAATATATTGGCCGATGTTGAGAAGATTTTGCTTAATTATAAAGAGCATGATAAGACCCCAAAATGTTCAGTTTGTTCAAGATATCTTAAGCAACAATAAAGTTGTTCTTAAATGAATTAAATTTTTAGCCAATCGCTCCTAGGCCAGCTATATGATATAGTGCTTCGATCCAATCGAATCTGCTAAGTGAACTGATTACAACAAAAAAAGACGTTGAGATCCTAGAAGTAGGACAAGCAGATGTATATAACTTAGTATATAGATCCGGCTGATCAATATTATATATACTTCATGAGCTCTGAGACGTGTCCTTTTATAAATGATAATACCCTGAGAGATTGAGAGATTTGTCAACATACATATTTAAAGAAGAGTTCGGTTTAAATTCACCAGCGCTAGGTCAAGTTCACTCCGTTATAATGATACCTGGAATGGATGGAGGTCCATTAGCATACTCGGATTGGCTGGAAAGTGTGGGGTGCGGCAGGTGCAGAGAGCTTCAACCTGTCAGACAGAGTTTACTTGTTGTTCCAATTTCAACAGACTTCGCAGTAGCTATGATTTCTGAGAATTTAAAACAGACGATACGAACTTTTTGCGTCGATTTTCTGGAGAAAAAATAAAAAAAAAAACACCCTGTTTCAGGCATGACTGAAGGTAAATCCTATTTCCAGCTAAGCTAGACTGAATTCTAAATTCTGGGCATCAGACCCACCAGCCAGAAACATTACACAATGTCAACGGAACAGACAAATTAATTTCAAACAAATAAAAGCCGAAAAAAAACTGAAATAAAATTGAGGATAAATTTTGGTGTAAAATTATCGAAATTTGGCAATATGGTAAAAGTGTCGGAGGATATCTTTGGCATCGCCATCAATCCGTTTACGAACAAGGCTCAGGTGGTGCGACGCTACACGATTAGCAATGCGAATCATCTGTCCGTGCAGATCATCCAGTTGGGCGCGACCATACAGAGCATCAAGTGCCCGGATGCCTACCACAACGTGGAGGACGTGGTGCTCGGCTTCGACGATGTGGCCGGCTACGAGTCGAACCGGCAGCGACGCTTTGGCTGTATGCTGGGACGAGTGGCGGACCGCGTGGCGAACGGGGAGTTCATAATGGACAGGCGCAAGGTGCGTGTCACGCGCAATTTGAATAATCAACATCAGATCGATGGCGGCTTCATTGGATTCGATCGCATCATTTGGGATCTGCACATGATGCGTCCGGACGGGATTACGCTCAGCCATGAGTCCGCCCAGGGCCACGAGGGCTATCCGGGCAAGCTGACTGTGCTGCTGCACTTCACCATGGACAACGACAATCGCTTCTATATGCGGATCGAGGCGCGCACAGATCAGACCACGCCCGTGAATATAAGCAATCATTGCTATTTCAATTTGGCCGGCCAGAAGGCGGGCCGTAAGGGCATACTGGAGCACCGCTTGGTCATAGCCGCGGATCACACCATTGAGACAACTGAGGACACCATGCCAACGGGCCGATTTTCGAGGGTCAACAATACCGTCTACGATATGCGTGTGCCGGCCTTTATTGGAGATCGTCTGCGCCAATTCGAGAACAAATCGGTGCCCGGCTTCGATGTGTGCTACGCCATCGACAAGGACTTCGATGCGAACATATTGCATTTTGTTGGACGATTTCTGCATCCCGAATCTGGTCGCTACATGGAGATACACAGCAATCAGCCGGGCATGCGCTTCGCCACGGCCAACGATTTTCCGGATGATACGCGCGACGAGGAGCCGATAATGGGCAAAGAATGCGCTCGATATTATCAGCATTCGGGATTTAGTATACAGCTGGAAAAGTTTCCCGACACCATGAACAATCTGGACTTTCCCACCGCATTTATAATGCCCAGTGAGCTGTACTTTCACGAGACCATCTACACGTTTGGTGTCCAGGAGTCCTGGAAGTGCTGCGCCCTGCCCGAGGAGCTCGAGCAGCTTGGCGCGGACATTGTTCGATACACCTAATGTGATTTGTATTTATTAGTATTTGCATTCAAATTCAGCGTAAACCAAATTAACCAATTGCCGTTTATTCATTCACATTTTGCAAGCCGGTTCGAATTCGAACTCTTGGCAAACAGAACTTTCACAAAAACTCAACTGAGGCCCCCAAACCCGAATGGGATTGTTAAGAATTTTTCCTAAGCAAGGTTTTTACAAAATTTCAACATTTTAAACATTGTTTTCTTCCATTTCCTATCAGAAACCGAACAGAATTTTTCTCAATTTCTCAAATTTAGCTCGCATCTTGTCTCGAAAATTTAAAAAAACCAACCTCCGGGCTTTTGGAAAATGAAAGAGTTCGATTTATAAGTCCAGCCAAGGCAAGTCTTCATTCAATAATGAATTTCGACAACGTGTTTTGAGACTACTTTTATATGGGAGGGCTTAAGTCTATTGATTCGAACTTGGGATCAGGGTATTGGTTCGAGCCGTGAAACAAGGCAGACATTTATTCCAGATGGATTTATTCTACAAAGCTTTACACTCTGCATATCCAAAGCTAATAAAGTAAATATTAATAAACATAATATTTGCCTTGGCATATTTGTTTAAACAAAGTATTAGATTGATATAATAAAGATAATTGGCTTTTTAAGATATCTTAAATTATATCAGTTGTTGCGAGCTTGCGAGAAAAACTCAAACATCAGACTAATATATCATATAACTGGTATTAATAGGAAAGCAGTTGAAATTTGAGTTTTTGTGTATAAATACTTCCAAGTTCCAAGCTCTATTGAAGTGTATTGCACATCTGCATGTCTGCAGGGATATTTAATTTATGTTTGCATTAAACCAATTTACTTATCGCCCTTTCAGTCTCTTATCTCCCTGTCAAAGTTAACAATAAATTGAAAATATCAAATTCAAGTTTTTGGTAATTCGGTCTATTTAAATTTATCAGACATCTTTACCGCCTGATACTTAACATGAAGAAGGAACTAGGATAGTTAACTTAACATGAAGATGGAACTAAGATATTTAACTTAACACGAAGATGGAACCAGGATATTAAACTTAACATGAAAAAGGAACTAGGATATTTGACTTAACATGAAGATGGAACTAAGATATCTAATCCAACATGAAGATGGAACTAAGATATCAAACTTAACATGAAGATGGAACCAGGATATTTAACTTAATACGAAGATGGAACTAAGATATTTAACTTAACAAAAAAAATGGAACTGTGATAGTTAACTTAACATGAGGATAGAACTAGGATATTTAACATGAGAAAGGAACCAGGATATCAAACTTAACATGAGGATGGAACTAGGTACTTAACGTAACATGAAGATATAACTAACATCTTAAAAATATGTTATCTTAAATCGGCTGTTGTTTTAATCAACTTCCTGTCAAAATCAAAAATAACTTCAAACCATCAAATTCTCACCGCATACTTAACATGAGGATAACACTTGCTACAGTGCTGCCATTATGTAAGCTCCCAGCTGGCAGACGCAATTAACCGTTATAGCATCAATAATTCAATTCATCTGGCAGCTCACGTGGCGTTGCCAACATTTTACAATGTTGCGAAACGCGAAGGGGCAATATTTTCTTTTCACATAATTGGCTTGTTGTGCAATCAACCATTTTCTATTTTTATAAATATCATAAGCATAGCCGATTCACATCGAGTGCAGGCTGCTCAATGGGTCTCAAATGAGAACAAAAGTGTTTTTTTTTTTTTAAGTTTTTGTTACAGTCGAGAACGTAAGATAAGTGGGGTGTTTTTTATACCCTGAACCTATTAAAAATGGGTATAAGGGTATATTGTATTTGTGCAAAATCCAAATGTATGTAACAGGCAGAAGGAAGCATCTCCGACCCCATAAAGTATATATATTCTTGATCAGCATCAATAGCCGAGTCGATCTAGCCATGTCCGTCTGTCTGTCCGTCCGACCGTCCGTCCGTCCGTCCATCCGTATAGATGAACGTAAGGATATCAGAACCTATAAGATCTAGAGACTTGAAATTTTAGATGTAGATGCTCCTAGTTCCCGCGCAGTTCAAGTTTGTCGATAACTTGCTCCGTTTCCAAGCAATCGATAAAAATCGATATCGATATACTGTTTTTTGGGCAATTTTGGTAAATAATAAGAGCTAGAGTCGCCAAACTTGACATATAGCTTCTATATATATATATATATATATACGCATTTGATGTTGGAAGAAGAGGGTTCAGGGTATCCCCTAGTCGGGAGCTCCCGACTAGAACCTCTTGTTATATAATTATATTGTTCGAATGTCGCATAAGCAGCGCAGGTTATGTTTCTGGTTTCTATATTTATTTCTGTACAATAATTAAATCCTTTATAAAGACATCATCATTATGCATTATGCTCGCAAATGGCAGTTGGATAACGAAACAATTTTAATGGGAGGGGGTCGCCGTTTTTTTGTGTTTTTTGTTTTTGTAGGGTTTTCATTAAATATAGCTCTTCTACTTGAACGTCTTCTGCTCCTTCGCCTCTGCATCGCTGGCCTTTAGGGTTAATTGCACAGCTTTGGGGCTGCTCGCACAATGTCCAATGTTTTGGGGTCCTTCAACGCGTCTGATGGGGTTCTTATGCTACATAGTTTCAGCATTTGCATTTGGATGACGTGCTCCCGACCAATTAAGAAACCTAAATGCTAGCGAAATGCCAACGCTTCCATATGCCTCTCGAGTTTATCGCACGCCCGGATCGCATGGGATGTGGCTTCCATCTAGTTATATGTATACTTATATGGAAATATGCGGCGATTGTGCGCTTCAGGGAAGGTAAACAAAGTGCAGGCCAACGAGCTGTAAATGTGTGTGGGCCGCCCCGCGAACCTTTTCGACTAAAATGCTATAATTTGCGTTCCTTTTACCTTCTTTGTTGGCTTCAAAAACGAATAATAACTGTATTATCGTGTATTGGAATAGGGCGGTTATGCCTAGCAGTTGGATAATTTGGCGAAACACACATCATTTACAAGAGACAGAGGGAGAGGGAGAGGGGGGGGGGGGGGGCGAAGAGAAGTTAGAGCCTAATTTAGCTATATATCTATCGCAAATGTACCTTCCGGATGATAAGATTTCCCGTATCGCAGCTTAAACTGTTTTTGCAGCTCACAGTCGTATTTTCCAAAGGAAGCTAAAACAAGTTGCGAATTATAATTCTTATCAATATAACTTTCAGACTTTATAGATACAAGGTTACGTTGTCGCTTAAAGGCAACTGCAAAGCTGCACAAATAATTCAATAATTGCATTATGGCAAACTTTTCATGATAATCGAGCCTTTACCCCGACCTTGCCTGTTCTTGAATAGAAAAAGATGTTTGAGCTTGTGAGAGCTTTGCGATTAGAGTGTGTTTCAGACGGATTGACAGCTGCGAAGGCAACAAATCGACGTTTTGTTGACTTAATCAAGTCAAACAAAAGTGGACGTTACAAGGCTAAGTTTTGTCTTAATGTAATGTAGATAAACACACACACACACACGCACGCACACACATATTATTTATAATTTTCAGCGTGTGTGCGTGGTGGAAAGTGGCGTCATAAAATGGATGGCATCACCACATCAGAGCAGCGCGTCGACCGGAAACCAGCTTAAAGGCCACGCAGAGAAAGAAAGATACAGCTACAGATACAGATACAAATACAGATACAGATACAGATACACATACACTGGCTGTAGATAGTGACAATGAGACTGAGACTGAGACTGTGCGAAAAGTTATGACAGCAACAAAAAAAAACAACAACAACAACAACAACTACTACAACAAAATAAGGGAAAAGTTTACGGTCATGCCTTGGTGACAAGTCGTTGTTGGCTTTTTTCATGATGACGGCAATGATACCATCAAATAAAGTATTGCATATGCCAAGGCTAAATGCGTTTTTGCAGCAGCAGAGGCAGAGGAACTGAAATTCAACAGTTGGATGTATAATAAAACAATCGATTGCTTTTATCGAATATGCGAAAAGCAACTGGATATTTTATTATACCCTGAACCCATTAAAAATGGGTATAAGGGTATATTGTATTTGTGCAAAATCCAAATGTATGTAACAGGCAGAAGGAAGCATCTCCGACCCCATAAAGTATATATTTTCTTGAACAGCACCAATAGCCGAGTCGATCTAGCCATGCCCGTCTGTCTGTTCGTCCGTCCGTCCGTCCGTCCGTATGTATGAACGCAAGGATCTCAGAACCTATAAGAGCTAGAGACTTGAAATTAGAATGATGTAGATGCTCCTAGTTCCCGCGCAGATCGAGTTTGTTTCCGATAATCGATAACTTACTCCGTTTCCAAGCAATCGATAAAAATCGATATCGATGTCCTGTTTTTTGGGCAATTTTGGTAAATAATAAGAGCTAGAGTCACCAAACTTGACATATAGCTTCTAAAATAGAATATATATATGCATTTGATGTTGGAAGAAGAGGGTTCAGGGTATCCCCTAGTCAGGAGCTCCCGACTAGAACCTCTCACTTGTTATACATATGTATGTACATGCTACGGTTTTTCGATCTGCTCTGCATTTCAGACACATTCGAAATTATAGCGCAAACTAGTTATGGAACTATCAAATGTATCTTCCGTCCAGCATCCAGGGACTATTTAGGACCAAAGACTCCGCGCATCTTATCTTTAATTAAAATGAGGCTAACGCCGGATATTGCAGAGAACTTTGCTACAAGAAAGTTTCTCAACTTTTGCAAGGGAAATTGACAACAAGGGAGCTATTATGGAAATGTCTGCTTGACTTAAAGTACAGAACTTTTGCCCAACTCTCTCTCTCTCTCTCTCTCTCTCTCTCTATTCAGGTTTGCGGAATGGAAATTTGAAATATTCCTTCGAAACTATATCAAAATCTGCACTCTACTTTTTATTGGTGTCTCTGAATTTCCATCTATTCTTGAACAGATTATGCCACAGGTAAACAGAGACAACTAATCGAGCTGAGCTCGAGCTGAATGTTATATGTAATGAAATGCTAAATACCTTTCGTTTCATTCATGCCCATTTCCTTTCGCTTTCAATATGCTGCTCGATAGTTTCTGGGTGCGATTTGATTTGTTTTTTGGGTCAACGAATGTTGCTCATTTGACATTTTTCACAGATTTCAAAATGGAATACCAAATATATGGGTATATATATATATGTGTGTGTATATGCATGTGTGTGTACTTGTTGGTTGTGTGTGTGTGTGTGCATTTATAACTGTGCGAACGTTTATCCTTATGCTATGGCTATTCCCGGCCGCAGGCTAAGAAATAATGTGTCTCGGGTGTGTGTGTGTGTGTGTGTAAGGCTTTGGCTAACAATTTTAATTTCTTGACTGCTTTTATCGCATTTTGGTATTTGTTGTATTTAATGGAATGTGGCAAAAGCAGACGAAGCAGCAAAACCAAACAGGAATCATGCAAAGAATGCGATTTTTATGTGTGTGCGTGTCCGTGTGAGTGTGCGTGTGTGTGTGTGGGGATATATTTCTCAAGTGAAATCCCACAAAACAATAACAACACTAAGACGCTTCCGTGTCCTTGTTTCTATGTGTGTGCGCGCGTGTGTGTGTGTGTGTGTGTGTGTGAGTGTCAAAGGAAAATGGCACGAAGTAAGACAAAACAAAGCCCAACAAAGCATAAAAGAGGCACGCACCGAAACTTGAATACCCTGACAGAAATCAAAATTGACATTTGCGACTCACTAAAAGCCTTAAATCTAAACTTTTTTTTAAAAAATCTACTTTGTTTAATTAAAATGTAAAAAATGTAAGTATAATTATTTGCAGAGACCGCCAAAAATGTTCACTTACTTAGAATATGATTTAAGCTGATTATGATTATGATTATGATTAACGTATAATTTGTTTAATATCATTTATAATGATTACGGTCCCCATGGGAATAAGTGAATAGGGGCATTCAAGTATGCGAGCTAAAGAATATAATAAATAAATTGCATAAATGTTAAACTAACAATTATTTATTTTTCAACCTTTTTTTTTTTAAACGCAATCAACACGCAAATAGACTTAAGAGTGCACTTCGAATTACAATAAGCTTGAAAATATCCGGTCAAATCAGAGAGTGAAAAATAACTGTAAATCCCACGCAGGGATGGATCAGAGCTCGATCTCGAGTATCGACAATGAGTACTTTTGGGCATAGATTGGTTAGCGAAATGACTTTGTTTATGCTTTCAAGAATAAATATGATAGTCAAATAGACTGGGGGGATAGGAAATATAAATTCCTGTCTTATTCTCACTATGCGTACGCAAACAAAAACAAAAGAAATGCAAAGCTTCTAAAGACAAAGCTGAAGACTTATGCCTTGATTGTTTGCGGCTTGTGGACATAGTATTACCCTTTAACAGAGAGATAAAAGCGGGTATGCACACACACATCCATCATATTGTCGTTGATATTTTTTCCGGCTTATTTAATTCGCATGAGTATTTTATTTCGGGCTCATTTCTGGGATTGATACCCTCTAGCAATCAAACTGGGTATATAAATTAACAGCTTCACCAATTTAACTATATAAGCATTTCAGTTACAGGGTATCTGTTAGTTGACTACTCGAAACTAGATAACTTTTACTGGATTCATTCTTGTTGCTGTCGGACAGGCGAAGATACATAAATACATGGAAAAGTATGTGTGCATTTGTACATTTGTGTATTTATGTGTGTATATGTATGTATGTATGCCTGTGTATGCTTGCGTACTTGTAGAAAGATAGCAACAGAGACGCCAGCGACGACGTGTTGAGTGGCGCAATTCTTAATTTTCTTTGCAGAGGCTGCGTGCTCCGAATTTCAAGTGTTGCACAATTTCTAATTGTTTGGCCAAGCAACTTGCAAAAAAAAGAAGAAGCAGATGCAAAGGTGGGAAATAACACAACACTGGACGACAAGAAACGCATAGCGCAACAAAAAAGAAGTAGAGACCAAGTAAGGGGATTAGTGAGCGGAGCGAGAGTAAGGGATACCCGCCAATTGGTGGTGAGTTTTCAAAGCTGAACAGCACCGTTCATTCAGAAAGTTCATTCGTAAGTAAACGCACCTTTTTGCAGTGCTGGCACATCCGCATGCTTTTCAGCTAGAAAGCGCGTAGAATGCAAGACCCAAAAAAATTAAACAGCAACAAACAAGTATGAGTCGTTCAGACAAGAGTGCGCACTAGATGATACCCTACATGCCGCTCAAAGGTTTTATGAATATTGCACATACATATATCAATTTTGTTTATACTTTGTTGTTTCTTGTGGAGGTTTCTTATGCTTATTCTAACGGTATCAACACGGCTGGCGTTCTGCTGCTCACAAATACATTTGCATTCTTAATGGTTGCGTTGCAGTCGCCTTCTGCCTGTTAGAACCCACCTACCCTTTACGTACATAGTCAATTATTACAGGGTATGAAAAGTGATAACAACAACATCAATGCCTGCACAAACAAAATCCGCTACACTCGCCGCACGGTCGCCGCAGGGGCGTGAGAAGTGACGACGTTGTCGTTGTCGTTGTCGGCGCTTGGCAGCTTTGACATTTGCATGAAAATACATGTATACTGTGTCTTTGCGTGTATGTGTGCACTATGCGTAACAGTGTGGCAGAGAGTTAGCCAATAGATGTAAGGCAAAAGCCTGACAGCGGCGAGGAGTAGAACGAAACCGAGCATCAGCATCCCCGCCGGTAAAAAATCCTTCGAAGTTTTAGCGAAAAGCATCGTCAATGCCACACAGTTGGGGTTGTCAGACTGTCGGCGCGTGTGTATGCGCATGTATGTGTGACTCTCTCTATGTGTGTGTGTGTGTGTGTGTGTGTGTTTGTATTTGTATAGAAACATCGTCAGCGCATTGTCGTCCCCAAAAATAACTAACCCCCAATCGAGTAGGCAGACCTCCCCCCTCTCACCTCTTACCCCGCACACTGAACAGGCCACCGTTAGCCGTACTCCGTTTCCATACGACTGAAGCGACCCTCGTTTACTGAAAGCTCGCAGCATAGCCGCCCAGTCAATTGGCAGCTGCCGCGTCAGCCATTTATCTATTTTTAGCACATTTTCGCGTATGTTATACGGTTAATATTTATATGTATTTCTCTGCTATCTTCGTTTTAATTACCACCTATTCTTGTTAATTTCTGTGTGTCCCTAGATCAACGTTAATTCCTTTAACAATTCACACCATCAGCCCTTATTTATTTATTGCAACTACTATATAAAACATATATCACACGACTTTAACAGGAGCGATCGTCTTTGAAATATGCTTTACTTCTTATATGCATCCAAATATGCACATGTACGCCAGCTAGAGTATTTCATCCCTAGTTTTATTTTTCCATAAAGGTAAATTCCCTCAAATATGTGTGTCTCTTTGGCATGCAGACATACATATATGCATATGTACATGCATGCATGCATTAGCATACATGTCGACATATGTAACAGTACGAATTCAATACGTTTGCAATCTAGAGTTTAATGGTGGACGTGATTTGAATATGTAAATGATTTGCCATGCATGTGGCTGGCCTAATGCGCGCTGCTGCTGCGCTGTTGCTGTCGTTTAACTTTGGACCATATTTCGAATTGCATCTCGAATGTTTTAAATACAGCGTCTGCAATTTTGGCAAAACTACAAAATAAACAGTAAATATATATACGGCAGTATGTATGTACATACATATACATACGTCTGTACATATGTGTGTATGTTTATGTAAGGGGAAACAAGGCATCATATGAATGTGAACATTTATATTTGAACTTTTATGCGCATTCATAAATAAAAGTACAGTAAAAGCTCTATTGGACGACTGCCTACGGTATCCTGCTAAGAAAATGTTCTCTTAAAATATGTACATATATGTACATATATCTCGCATAACTTTCAAAACAATGAAATATTAAAATTCAAAGCTGCGTTAAAAATTCAAGTGTAAGAAATTACAATTAAAATTTGCCCGGCTCAAGGAGAGTTCGCCCAAAGAGGCTGTCCGTTAACATAGCTTTCACTGTGCATACCTAATGCACTAACATACTTATTATAGAATTCAATATAACAGTTATTCATACCGCAATTTTTTGCCAGCGACCCGCTGGCTGCCGCCGCCGTTAGCGCAACGAAACAGCGTGTCGTTGTTGTGGTTATTCTTCTTCTACTTGGAGATTGACAAGAAGAAATTGACGTTGCCGTTGGTTGATTTTCGTATCTTGTTTTCTTTTTGTTTTCACTAACTGTTAGTTTATCTGTTCAGCTACTTTTACTGTGCTCTTTGTAGCACTTGACTGCACAAGAACCAAAAAAAAAAAAAAATAAATAAATAAATAAATAAAAAGAAAAGTAAATGTAAGCCAGCGCCAGCGAGTTGTTACATACACACATGCACACATACACACTCATACAAAAAGACAAGATAGCAAAGAGCGAAGAGCTGGTAAGATTTCACTTTTGCGCCGCCGCCGCCGCTGCTGCTGCCGTCGCTGCTGCTGCTACGGCTTGGACCTGCACGCATAAAATGAACTTTCACGCCGACCGCAAAGCTGGGAGCAAATTGACGGCCTTGTCCTGCTACTTGCCGGTGCTGTCGTCGGCGTCGGCGTCAGCGTCGACGTCAGCGTCGTTGACCGGCAAAGCAGCATCTCTCCAGTTGCATTCTCTTACGTTCTGTGCGCGCTGCTCTGCTCTGCTGCGGCTGCTGTTGTTGTTGATGTTTTTTGGTCGATCGATAAATTTCAACCGCGCTCTACTAACATCGAAATAAAAACAACAACAACCACAACAACAACATCTGACACTTGCACTTTTATTTTCGCTGCTTCTCTTCTTCGCTAACTAAACGCTTTCTCTCTTACTCTTGCACGCATAATACATACATATAACGGTAAAACGCTACATATGCATTAATTACCATTCATTTAGCTACTTCTGCACTTTTGGACGGCGACAGAGGATGGCGTGGGGGGGGCGGGGCAGGTTGCACACTGTCACCATTTCAATTAGTCTGCATTAATTGCATGCTGACCAGATGCTTGTTACGCTATTTTCAATTTAATTTGATTATTTTTGTATCTACATATGTATCTACATATAAAAACAACGGACAGAAGTAGATGCCGCCACCACCAAATGCCACCACCACCACCACCAACAACAACAACAGCAGCAGCAGCAGCAACACCACCACCACAGCTAGCAACAATATACCGTTAGTTCATCAAGCATCAGCAGAATTTTTCTGTAAACAATTTTGATTGCCCTCTGCTGTTGCTGCTGACTTTGTTGTCTTTTATTTTAATTCCATTGCTTTTGGTTTCGTTTGCCGCAGCGGCCCAATTTGCACTTGTTTTTATTCTTGCGTTTCTTGTTCTTGTTGATTTTATGGATTTGCACACACGTTTGTTTATAAGCGACTCTTCTTCTTCTTGTTGTAGCTGTTGTTGTTGTTCTTGCTGCTGTCCAAATGCGGTGCTTTCTTAAAGCTCGGCATGTTGTTATTTCTGTTAGCTAGCTGATTTTGTATGTAAATAAATATGCTGCCTTCTGTTGCTCTCACAATTCAAGCATTTGGTAACTATATTTTTGTATAGCACTCAAAAAAAAATTAAATCAAATCTCGCACGCGTTCGCAGTGCCCGTTGTCAGTGGTAGAACTGTAAGCATAAATACCGCCGCACCTCAGCGTCCGCGCGCGACGCCAGCTTTTTGCAACTGAAACTGAGTTCGAATTTGCGAAGAAGCGTTTTCCAATTAGATACACTTTAAAAGCGAAAATTCGAAAGCTCTTGTATAAGTAAAGCTTTTTATTCTAAAGAACGACATTTTTGGCGTTGCCACACTGCTAATGTGAAAGCATTTTCAAAATTAGTTCTTTTGCTGAGCTTAAAGTAAAAATAACATAATTAAGAATCACAAATTAATTATGTTGTCAACAGCATACGCAGCTTAACAATTTTATAATTAAACGTAAGAATAAGATTGACGTCAAAAAATATATATAAAACTGTATAGCTATGGCAACACACTTTTAAAGGATGTTGGTTTGCTTATTTTTATAATTTAGCTTATAATTAATTTAATTATTACTATAGCCAATACAACAAATGTACATACTCTCGAAATATTACGTTGTGTTTTTGTTTAAGCAAACAGGGATTTTTAAACATTGAAAAGCACGATCAAGAAACATCGATTAAGCATTGGCGGAAATCGCACCCACGATCATCGATACATCGATAATTCGCTGACACTTTGTACATTACCCATCGCTAGTGAAGAGTGACACTTAAATCGGCTTTTTCAGAATGTGGAAACTTCTAATAGTTGCGATTTTCGCAATAAATAATTGCAATGCTGTGCTTGAAAGCGATGCCAATACTCTGGTATTGTTGGACAATTTAGCCATTCGTGAAACGCATTCAATTTTCTTCAAAACATTGCAAGGTAACCGGCACACACACACACATGCATAACATATGACGTGTACAACATTTACCGAATCTTTGTCCAACTCCTCTCTTATAGATCGCGGATTTAAGCTAACCTATAAGCTAGCGGACGACTCCGGTCTGTTGCTCTCTCGCTATGGCGAATACCTATACAAGAATCTAATTATCTTCGCGCCCAGCGTTGAGGAATTCGGCGGTGACATCAGCGTGGAGCGTCTGGCACAATTCGTGGACGACGGTGGCAATGTTCTGGTTGCGGGCAGCGAGAAATCCGGTGATGCTCTGCGTGAATTCGCCTCTGAGTGCGGCTTCGAGCTGGACGAGGAAAATGCTGCCGTCATCGATCACTTGCACTACGATGTGAGCGATGCGGGCGACCATACAACTATTCTCACCTCGGCACGGAATCTGGTTGATGCGGCGAGCGTGGTGGGCAGCGAGAATCGTCAGGCGAATGCGGCGCCGCTGCTATATCGCGGCACGGGACTCATTGCGGACAAGGAGAATCCTTTGGTCTTGAAGCTGCTGACGGCGGAAAGCAGTGCCTACAGCTACAATCCAGACTCCAGCGTTTCGGACTATCCGCATGCTGTGGGCCGCGGCACGCTGCTAATTGCCGCTCTGCAGGCACGCAACAATGCACGCGTCGTCTTCTCCGGCTCGCTGCACTTCTTTGCCGATGAGACCTTCACCATGGCCGTGCAGTATGCGCAGAGCGGCGCCTTCCACAAACAGGCTGGCAATCGGGCGGTCGCCGAAGCCATCAGCAAATGGGTGTTTGGCGAGAGCGGCAGACTGCGTGTGGCTTCTGTGCGCCACCACAAGGAGGGCGAAAGTCAGCCGCCAGAGCAGGCATACACCATAACAGATCCCGTGGTCTATACGATTGCCATCGAGGAGCTGGTGCTGGGCAATTGGCAGCCGTTCAAAGCAAACGATATTCAGCTGGAGTTTGTGCGCATCGATCCGTTTGTGCGCGCATTCCTCAAGCAAACGAGCAGCGGCAGCTACGAGGCCAGATTTAAGATACCCGACGTCTATGGTGTCTATCAGTTCAAGGTCGACTACAATCGCATCGGCTATACGCATCTGTACAACACGACCCAAGTGTCGGTGCGTCCACTGGAGCACACACAATACGAACGATTCATACCCAGCGCATTCCCCTACTACACCAGCGCCTTCTCCATGATGATTGGCGTCTTTGTCTTCTCGTTTGTCTTTTTGCACTTCAAGGAGGAATCGGCCACCGGCAAATCCGCCAAGGACGACAAAAAGACTCAATAGAATAGAATAGTATATGAACAAATTGTGCAACATTTTTAATCAGTTCGTATATTGCATTTAAATGTTAACTAATCTGCACACATTTCAATTAAAGTCATACGTATTTGTAACTGTTATTTATTTTATATTCTCAGTCCATTATTATTTAATACTTTCCATAAAACCCGAGTCTGCATGTGTACATGTGTGTATGCATATGTGCTCATGTATGTATGAGTGCATCTACGTATGTGTGTACATATGTGCATATGCATGTGTGAATGTAGGCATGTACACGCGTATATATACACATATGTATGTATTGCATGTGTATGTACGCATGTATGTTGTGCATATGCATGTATGAGCATAAGTATGTACGTTTGAGTGCGTGTATTCATTACATGTTTATTTACGTGTTAACATTATATTTATTTGCTGCGCAAAGCGGTCTGCATTTCAGATAACAGAACATATATAAGCAAATATCGTGCTTCACACCCGGCTCTCGGGCGCCAAAATTGTTGATTTAAAATGACATTAAAGTTCTGTGGGGCTGCCACCACATATCAAAAAATCTGGTCACATCATAAACAGCTGTTTTTCGATATGTTTCATATATCGATAACGATTGTTGGCAAAATGAGCAACGCCACTGCATAAATACGCAAGATTGCAATGCAATTACATACATGTAAATATGAGTGAACGCACTCAATTGCCCAAACGTAGCCGCAACAACAGCAACAACAACAACAACGGACATGTCCAGTGGGACAGCAACCTCATCGGCTGTGCCGCCAGTTTGGAGCTGTGACACGCACAGGCGCAGCCATCATCAACAGCGCGAGCTGAAACAACAACATCTCCAGCTTTCCACACTCCAGACGGAGCTGCGACGAGCCACCAATCATTGGTTCCAAGCCAAAAGCGACGAGTGCCTGCAACTGCTCGTGCAAACATGCGTCCAAATCCTGCAGCATGGCCTGCTCCAGCCAACGGACGTCGGAACGCTGGTAAGTTCGACTCGATTTCTGATAAGCAAAGCTCACAACGCCCTAAACCCAGAAGAGAAAACTCAAAGCGAAACAAAAAAATAATCGTTTGAGCTGACCAAGCAGGCATATATATAATTTTGATTCAAGTTGCAGAAACTCTTGCATCATTCCGATGGCATCTGGTTGTTATAACAATCTGATTAAGAGAATGCTGTGGAGCATGAAATATTAATAACTTTCTGGGCAGGAAATGGATCACAATCTCCTAGAGGAACTACATATGTATATGTCATAGCAGTCCGATGCTAATTTGATTTCATTTATGAACCAATGAAGTTTGTAAATGAAATGGAATACCATCAAAATATCTTGAATAACGAAAGGGCTGCTTTCCTTTAAGCTGAGCGTCGTTTGTTAGCTGGAAATAGATCAATAGGAAGAGGACCATGTATCAACGAGGCTTATTTATTTCTCCAATGATTTTTTCTTGTAATCCCAATGGACTCTCTTTGTATGTCATTCGCTCAAGTGGAACTTAAAGTTAAATAAACACCATCAATTTAGCTGGCAATTGATGATGATACACTTATAAACATCTAATCGACTCTCTTGGGTACACTATAAACAATGGCGTTTTATGCGTAATCCGATGAATTTATTTACATATTGATTTACCTAACTTCACTATTGAACACAGGCGTGCAGCAGCAGAAAATGAACATGAAATAGAAGGGCAAATAGAAGCTCCAGCCATATATTTTCTTTGCCTTTTGTTAATGTCCCTTATTTCTTGCATTCGCAGCGTCTAATTGAGGACTTTGAGTTTTTGCGTCTCGCGGATCGTCAGACGCCGCTGCCGGCGCCATCATCTGGAACAAAAGTCAGCGTGGGGGAGTTCTTGGCGCAATGGGTGGCCAGCTGCCTGCGTTCGCGCTGCCTGTCGCGTTGCGTGCAGTCGCTGGTGGCGGACAAGGAGTTGCTCGACTGCTACTATCAGCGGGATGTGGCCTATTTGCGGCACAGCGGCTATGCGGCGGCGCTGTTTGTCTGCCTGACGGCCATTGAACTGGACCAGAGCAGCCTGCTCAGTCAGCTGGAGCCGTTGAATAAGCGGCGCCATCGACGCACCAGCTCGCAGCCCAATTTTAGCATAACACAGCGCTTGCATGTGGTGCAGGAGGAGGAGCAACAGCAGCAGCATCTCCAGTTACCGTCAAGTCCACGTCCGTTACAGCTGCTGCGACGCATCAAAAGTTTGCCCTGCCTCTATCAGAACGATTGCAGCGTGGATAGGTGGTCGCCGAGTGCCATGGCTGGGCCGGCTGCACGGCGGCCGCGTTGTCAGACCTACAACAGTCCGTGCGGCCACTGGCGCAGCCAACGCAAGGATTTGCAACCGTTGAGCGGCTCCAGCATCAGCAATGCCAGCAGCTGCAGCCAGGTGGGGTCGCCTGCGTCACCTGCGTCGCGCCGCATACAGCTGATCAACTGTGACGACATCAAAATCTGGACGGACCAAACGGGCAGCAGCAGCGGAACGCCACCAGCTCATATACCGGCAAAGACAAAGCCAACGACGCAGTGCGCCAAGCGCGGCAGTCCGCTCAACAGTTTTCTCAACAACCTGTTTGGCTCGCCGCCCGTCTACACGAGCTGGTATAGCAAGAGTCTGGGCCAGGACGAGGAGGCCAACAGTGCAGTGCTGATGCACAACTTTCTGCCCGTGAATGGACGCAAGCTGGACAAGCGGCAGCGGCTATCGCTATTCGAAGGCGTCAGCATGCTCGACTACAACGATTGTCAGGCATCAACGGCGACAACGACGACCACAGCGCCGCTGGACATAGTCGGCGGCTGCCCAGCTGGCCAGGCACATGGCAGCGCCAGCTGCAGCACCACATCCTGCAGCCTGAGCAGCGACAGCCAGCAGAGCAGCAGCGGCAACAAAATTGACAATCAGAGCCTGACCGCATTTCTGCAAATGTCGCGCAATACGCACAACAATACCGAATTGGAGAAGGAGAATGCCCATTTTCGCATCTCGGAGGCATGCATTGCGGCCATTGAGCATGTAAAGTGGAGCAGACGCGGACAGCCAGCGGCGGATGCCGCCAGCAGTGCGATCGCAAATGCAGATGCCGATGCTTTGCTGATACCCTACGCGGAGCAGCAGAGCAGCCATTGTAATTGTAATAACAGCGCCGAAGCGGTGGGCTTGCAGCTGATCTCGCGCTTCAATGATCAACAGCTGCCCAAATTGGGTGATCTTAAATGGCTCGTTTCGGAGCAGGATGCGCCCCAACAGCTGCTGCCATTGCCCAAGCTACAGGAACAGCAGCCGCAGCTGGCACAGCAGCAACAACTGCATCATCCACACCAGTTGGCGAGTGAGACAAGCCTGACACGTGGCACCAAAACATGGGCGCCACCGCGACAGCAGATCATCTTCACGGAGCACGCGCCTGCCAGTCGCTCGCAGCTGTTGGCGCGCCAGAATTACCGCTGCGCCGGCTGTGGCATGCATGTGACTCGACAGTATCAACAATACTTTCGATATTGTAATTATTTGGGCAAATATCTGTGCACCGGCTGCCATCGCAACCAGCTGTCGGCCATACCCGCCAAGATTCTGCAGGCCTGGGACTTTCGCTCTTATGCGGTTAGCTCCTTTGCGTATCGCCTGATCGAGCAGATGTACACGTTCCCGCTATTCCATGTGCCAGACCTGAATGCCCAGCTGTATGTCAAGCAAAAGCTCTTGGCCATGGCACGACGTCGTCGGCTCCAGCTCAAATATGTGCGCGATTTTATAGCCGCTTGCCGTTTTGCCACCAGGTAAGCCAGCATTTCCAATGTTCCTCAGGGCATCTCTTTCTAATTGATGCATTTATTCTGTTGTACAGGGAGCAAGCGTTATTTGATGCGGTGCCGGCGCACATTACCAATGACCCGGACATGTGGTCCATGTGTGATTTTGTTGATGTACAAAACAACAGCATGTGCCGCTCCATAGAGGAGCTGATTGCCCTCAACGAACAGCACGTACACGGCTGTGTGGTGAGAGCCAAGTTTACAGTTTAGAAAGCCACCAATCCGATTAGGCTATATCAGCAACTTTCAACTCTTTCAGCTCTGCACTGGTCGCGCCTTTGTCTGTGAATACTGCAAGAGTCGACAGCTCATTTATCCCTGGCAGCGCAAGGTGCAGCGTTGTGCCCAGTGCGGCGCCTGTGCCCACTACAATTGCTGGAAATCCAACTCGGCGGGCATTTGCTCGCGCTGTGAACGTCTGCAGGGACGAAAGCGGGAGTCCAGTTAGCGCGCATTATCTAGCCAAATAACGATCAATTTCCAAATATTGTATATAATCCTGTAAATGATCAATACTTTTTGCAAATGTACCTCAAGCGAATGTCGGCCGATTCAAGTTGATTTTACAAATTATACAAATATTTATTTTATTATATCAATCAATCAATCAATCATCCTGCATTTATTTCATTTCTGTGATGATGATAAGCCAAATGCCGTCTGCCTTATATTCAAATGAATATAGGGCAACATTTTATTTAAATCGGCTAACGGATTTATTTTTGAATATACTAGTCAGACTAGAACTTGTGTATATCTACGGCAAAGTTCTCATTTTTTGTTGTTGTTATTTTTGAATTTTTCGTGGCTGTTCCTAAAAGTCAAATTGGAATTTATTATACCTAACTCGTCGGCGAATCTGAATTAAAGCAATCAAAACAGATTGCACCAAAAAACATCGATATTGTGAAAGTATCGATAGTTAGACCAACATAAAACTATCGTTACCACATCGATAATAAGTCGATAGTTTTCTTTTCAGCTGGCAGCTTATTTTTGACATAACAGCGTCAAAATATTTTCCTTTTGAGTTTGCAGTGCCACTTCGAGTAGAGCATTAACATTTGCTTGCTAGATTAAAGTTAAATTTTGCACCTTTCCTTTAATGAATCGGAAACGCAAATGCAGTTCCGAGCAAAATACGTCACAAGTGTTGTTCATATAAATTAAACAGTTTTGACAAAATTTATGTTTCCGACTTTTTTTTTTGCTATAAAAAAAAAGCGTCGTACAACACACACTGCAGATGAAGAGAACGCCATAAATTGAAGTGTAGGTTGGAAAGAAAAATAGGAAGAAAATTTGCAAGTTTTTTCTTGACGGTTGGCGCTTGCGTTCGAGTTCGAGCCTACAGCTGCCTGCCATCAACCAGCCTGCGGCCAAAGCCAAAATATACACCATATACTTTTTGACATCTTCTAAGGTAAGTAAATTTAAAAAAAATATATACATTGCATTTGCAATTGTGTGTGGAAGCTCCGTTGAGTTGATGTCCGCCCGTTGGCAAGCGGGGGTAAATGTGTAAAGCGGAGGGTTTGATGCGTGCGTGCGTGCGTGCGAATGTGTTTTGTGAGAAAATGTGTTTGTGTGTGTGTGTGATGGGACAAAAGCGATGCGGCGCACTTCGTTTTAGCGTGAGCAAATTCTACACACACATATATGTATGTGTATTGTACATATATGTAATTGCATAAAACAAGCATAAATATATCATGAAAAGTTATAAAATACGCATAAGTGTGTAAGTGTGTGCATATGCATATAAAAATGCGTTGACAAAAACTTGCGAAAAGTTTGCAAGCTTCTTGTGATCAATACTCATGCACATGCATATATTTATATGCATATGCATACACATATGTATGTGTCTGTTTATGCATGTTTATTTATCGATGTTTCTCCGTCTCCTCCTTCTCCTGTTACCTATTTTCCATTGAATTTTCAGATAACTCAGGCGGCTGCTGCAACATTAAGCGCAACGCAATCGAAATCGAAATCGAATGTCAACACGATAACAACACAAAAAAGAGCACACACTCAAAAAACAAAACAAAATAAAAAAAAAACAACACAAAATAACAAAAAAAAAAAAAACAAAACTAAAACTAAAACTACTACAAATAATAATCAAAATCGCTTGAATAGGAAAAACAACGAATACGGCGGCAACAGCAGGAACGGCAGCAGCAGCGGCGGCGTTTGCAGTAGCCGATCAACAGCAACATTCAAGTACCGAATAAGATGGACATTGAAACAGATCAGTCTATCGAAGCAATGGACACCCAGGATACCCAAGAGGTCGAGATAATCACAAGTGACCTACAACAGCAACAGCAGCAACAACAACAACAGCAGCAACAGCAGCAGCAACAACAACAACAACAGACAAACTCGCCGCCACAATTGCCAAAGTTTAAAAATCTGATACATCCACAGCTGCAGCAACAACAGCAACAACAGCAGCAGCAGCTACCCAGTGAGAACGGTAACGTGCCGCCACAACAATTGTTGGCAGAGAGCAGCTCCACATCGTTTGGCAACGAGCAAGAGATGCCAATGGACGACGAAACGAAGGAGGATCAGTTCCGCTCGGAGACAACATTCTCCTATACTGTGGAGAATGTTGGGCAGATAAAGCAACAGCATCTGTCGCAGCCAGTCTATGTGCGCATGCTGCCATGGAAGATAATGGTCATACCGAACGATCGTGCGCTGGGCTTCTTTCTGCAGTGTAATGGGGAGAACGATTCACCCACTTGGTCGTGCAATGCCATTGCCGAGCTGCGTCTGAAATGCCACAAGCCGGATGCGCCGCCGTTTACGCGCGCTCGCATCAAGCATTTATTCTACTCGAAGGAGAACGATTATGGTTACTCGAACTTTATTACCTGGCAGGAGCTGCAGGATCCGGATAAATATTATGTGAACAATGGCAGCATTACGCTGGAGGTGCACGTAATTGCCGACGCACCGCACGGCGTGCTGTGGGACTCCAAGAAGCATACTGGCTATGTGGGCCTGAAGAATCAGGGCGCCACATGCTACATGAATTCGCTGCTCCAGACGCTATATTTCACAAATTCACTACGTTTGGCTGTTTATCGCATACCGACCGAGGCCGACGATAGCACCAAATCGGTGGGCCTATCCCTGCAGCGCGTCTTCCATGAGCTGCAGTTCGGCGATCGCCCTGTCGGCACCAAGAAGCTAACCAAATCCTTTGGCTGGGAGACACTTGACTCGTTCATGCAGCACGATGTCCAAGAGTTTCTCCGTGTGCTGCTCGATAAGCTCGAGTCAAAGATGAAGGGCACCTGCCTCGAGGGCACCATTCCCGGCCTGTTCGAGGGCAAAATGTCATCGTACATTAAATGCACAAATGTCGATTACAACAGCACACGCTACGAGACCTTCTACGATATTCAGCTAAATATCAAAGACAAGAAAAACATCTATGACTCATTTCAGGACTATGTCGCCTCCGAGACACTCGAGGGTGATAACAAATACGATGCCGGTGTCCACGGTCTCCAAGTAAGTGAATACTACGCCTTCGACTAACCTCATGCTCTGATCACATTTGCCTTGATTCGGCACGTTTCTGCCAAGATATGGCATACATATATATCATTTATATATGTCTAAAATTCTTGGATTTCCCCTATTGCCATCCACATCAATCGGATTGAGTGTGGATCGTAAAAGCTTAGAAGAATTCTTATTTGAGCTGATTCGAGCTAAAATGTTACCACAGCATGAATCTAAACCCAAAATAAACATAGATATATTTACAAATAATTGCTTGCTCTCTCTCTCCCTCCTCTCTCTCTCTCTCTCTCGCTCTCTTTCTCTCTGTGTATTAATTTTTATACAGGAGGCCAGCAAGGGCGTCATATTCACATCATTCCCGCCGGTGTTGCATTTGCATTTGATGCGTTTCCAATATGATCCGATTACAGATAGCTCGATCAAGTATAACGATCGCTTCGAGTTCTATGAGCAAATCAATCTGGATCGTTATCTGGCGGAGCGTGAGAAGACACCAGCCGACTATGTGCTGCACGCTGTGCTGGTGCATTCGGGCGACAATCATGGTGGGCATTATGTGGTCTTTATCAATCCAAAAGCCGATGGTCGCTGGTTCAAATTTGATGACGATGTGGTCTCCAGTTGCCGCAAACAGGAGGCCATCGAGCAGAATTATGGCGGCATGGATGACGAGATATCGTTTCATGCCAAGTGCAGCAATGCCTACATGCTGGTCTATATACGGCAATCCGAGCTGGATCGCGTTTTGGGCGATATACCCGAAAATGAGATATCCAGCGACCTGGTTGAGCGCCTCGATTTGGAGAAGCGCATCGAAATGGCACGACGCAAGGAACGCAGCGAGGCCAATCTGTATGTGCCCATACACGTAATACTCGAGGAGTATTTTGAGTCACAGCAAAAGCGACGTCTCTTCGATCTGGAGAAGACTCACCAGCGTCCATTTAAGCTAAAGCAAAACCAAACTGTTAACGAAATGGTCGAGATGTTGGTCAAGGCATTCGGTGTGCCGCGCGATCGCATGCGCATGTGGAACATGTGCACGGCCCAATCACAAAAGTTCCTGCATTTTGATTTCGAGGCGGAGGCCGGACGCACCATCGAACAGATACCCACCTCCCAAAAGCCGTGGGTCATTTTCCTGGAGCTGGCACCGCCCGACAGCAGCGTTCCCCTGCTGCCCTTCAATCCCAAAACGGACGTGTTGCTCTTCCTCAAGTATTATGATGCGCGCAACAAGCGCCTCAATTACATTGGCTGCACACAGCAGCCGCTGTGTCGTCGCCTCAGCGAACTGGTGCCGGAGATTAATCGGAAGCTCGGCTTCGAGCTGGACACCGAGCTGACCGTGTTCGATGAATATGCCGATAAGAAGATACCTAATATTAATGAGCCCATCGAGAATGTGCTATATATGCCGCAGGATCATTTGCAGGGTCCGATTTTGATATTTGAGCGCGAGAATGTTGATGCTAAATTGGATTTGCCCACCGTTGAGGATTACTTTTTGGATCTGGTCTATCGCATCGAGATCATCTTCAGCGACAAATGCAATCCCAATGAGCCGGACTTTACGCTCGAGCTATCGAATCGCTACAACTACGATCAGCTAACTAATGCGGTCGCCGAGCGCCTCAACACGGATCCCCAGAAGCTCCAGTTCTTCATGTGCATCAGCAACTACAAAGAAACCGCCGG